CGTTCTAACCTCGTTGTATGCATTGATTAGAAGGAAAAATAAACTGTTATGCATTACTTCATGTATAGGTACATATGTGGATATAAGCAGGCAAACTAGAACAAAAAGGGATAAAGAGTCGAAGTGACCTGGAATTAAACCAAGTTTATTTTCAATCCGGCTGCAGTAATATAAGCATACGGAGTAGCCCGTCCATAGTGCGGTAATCTGATACATGAGAAAATAACATGCCTCATTCAATACAACCAACTTCAACAGTCAAGAGCCAAATCATCCCATGAAGCTACACCGTATGGAATATACATTGCACTGTCAGAATGTGGAACAATCATCATTGTAAACTTAAACTCAATGGGAAAAAAAAGAGTATGAATTCTTGAGACCCCTGCACACAGATTGAACAAGTGTGTCATGATGGCAGCATTGACTCAGCGATACTAGTTAGTTAGCTAACTAGTTAGTTATGTTGCTTTGACCTTATTAGGTAAATCAAGCTACCCTTCTCTTTCAGATTTTAGATATGTTGAGTCTTCCGACGTTCTGTTCGTCTTACGGTACGGAGTATACATTCTCAAAATCAAGAATCAAGTTACTAGCCTGAGTCAAATGAATAGGTCCTGATGGTGATCCCTCGATTATCTCCGCACATCCTACACAATTCAGCGCAACGACCATAGAGATCGAAGCTGAAAGCAAGATGTTATGAGAATAAAGGGTCAGGCATTCAATTTGCACCGAGGTGCTTATAATTCTGTACAAGTTAAACGCGCATACAGACAATATCAACTTGTAGGGAGCAGTATACAAGTTCCGAGGCTAGTGACCTTGGCATGATCTTCACGTCGAACATGTATCGACTGTGCAACATGACCTTGGAAAATGTAAGGTTGCTACCCAATACAGTGGCGTTACTAGTCTCCATCCGGTGCTCCACTGATAGACAGCATCGTCACAATTGGAATCTGGGCACACGACAGATCAACTGTGAACTTTCAGCTTTCAATCCTACAGCCAACATCCCGCATGTGAGGACAAGCACATGCCTTCTCCGGGCAATTCCCATTCCTCCTGTCTCAATCGTTCGGTCAAAGTCAACCTTGGGATCCAGTGTCTCCGATCATCAAGAGCTTGTGGCCATGGATTCGGCCATCGCTGCTCATGAATTGTTGCAATATCTTCGCTTTGGATATCCTCCAGCTCTGCTGGTGATTCTATTTGTCGTCTTTTTGGTCCATTCATCCCAGGTAGCCAAAAGAAATGCCGGTCGGAGTACCAAAATGCAGTATGGCCCTGGTGGGAAGCCACTGCCTCGGCGAACCCGAATCATGATGGCAGTAGCCAGGGACTTGCCCACAGAGATTGCGCTGAATAGATCCAAAAGCTGGTTTATTTGGTTAAGTCTCTTTATGTTGGGAACGTATATTGCAGAGGCAGCAATTCACATGACCCGCGCCATGATCTCAAAGTCAGAACAGTGGTGGTGTGGCCAAGCGGTGGTGGTGAGACTTGTCTTTCTGGTGTTTCTAACATTGAAATCAAAGCTAATAACAAACAGGTCTTTGTCGTTGGGTCTTTCTTCACTCATACCGTTATCTTTATCTCTTTGCTCGATACGAACCCTGCACCATCAATCGCACAATTCATCCCATGGGTCTGTGCCATTCCTTTCGAAGTCGCAATTCTCTCGACCTCCATCTCGATCTATTCTCACACCCATCGCGAACCAACAATAGAAGATCCATTCGGTGGAAGATTGCGCACGAAAATCACATTCTGGGAGGCATTGGAGATTTCCGCAGGCTCTGTGCGGATCTTTGCTCTCACCCTGCTGGTCGCGTCCTATATTTTCAAATCTGCCCAGAAACATCGTGGTTTAAAGGATGCTGAAAATGCCAGCGCCGGAGAAACGACCAGTCTGCTGGATTCAAGAGGCAATGCCAACTCAGACGACAGTGATGCCTTGACCGAGGGTCAGCAGACCCCTGAAGTAGAAGCCTGGGTGCGGCCTTTGACGACTCCTTCAACTAATTGGATGGAATATTTGAGTGGATACTCTCTATTCTTCCCATATCTGTGGCCTTACAAATCTCTCCGGCTACAGGTTGTCGTTGTCATCTGCTTTGGTATATTGATTTTACAGCGAGCGGTCAATATCCTAGTCCCATACCAGGTGGGAGTGATCACAAATTCTTTGTCCGCCAGTGATGGAACTCTGCAAGTGCCTTGGATGCCGATATGTTTATATATCCTCTACCGCTGGCTTCAAGGCAGCCAAGGTTTCCTTGAGTCAGTTCGTTCGAATCTGTGGATTTCAGTGAGCCAGTATGCATATATGGAGTTGTCAACCGCTGCGTTTGAGCATGTTCATAGTCTAGGACTGGACTTCCACCTGGGTAAAAAGATGGGCGAGGTCCTATCCGCTCTCACCAAAGGCAGCTCAATTAACACTTTCCTTGAGCAAGTCACCTTTCAAGTGCTGCCTATGTTCATCGATTTGGCTATCGCAATTGGATACTTCCTAGTCGTGTTTGACGTGTACTACGCATTGGCCGTCGCTATTATGACATTCTTTTACCTTTATTCAACCATCAAGATTGCCTCTTGGAGAGCCAATATGCGACGCCAAATGGTGAACGCTTCTAGGCAAGAAGATGCTGTCAAGTAAGTTTCAATTACGTTCCCCACTCCGTCTGTCCTGTTTGGATTCACTAATCTATATAGAAATGATTCACTTGTATCCTATGAAACTGTTAAATATTTCAACGCAGAGGAGTACGAGTTCAATCGTTATCGAGGGGCAGTCTCGGACTATCTCCGGGCAGAATGGCATTCCCTGTTTGCGCAGAATCTCATGAATATTTTCCAGAATGTCATCTTCATGCTTGGCCTTCTAATCACATGTTTCATTTGCGCCTACCAAGTTGCTCGCGGCCAACGTGCAGTCGGCCAGTTCGTGACTCTTCTTACCTACATGGCCCAGCTCCAAGCCCCGTTGAACATTTTCGGGACCTTCTACCGATACATCCAATCTGCCTTAATCAATGCAGAGCGTCTACTCGAGCTGTTCCGCGTCCAACCATCGGTGGTGGATGAACCCTCTGCAACACCACTAGCAGTCTGTCACGGCCGAATCACTTTTGACAATATCCAATTCTCATATGACACCCGACGACCTGCCCTCGATGGATTGACCTTTGACTGTAAACCGGGCACGACAACTGCTCTGGTAGGAGAATCAGGCGGCGGAAAATCGACAATCTTCCGCTTGCTTTACAGATTCTACAATCCAAACGGCGGAAGCCTTTCTATTGACGGACACGATACCCAAACCTTGACAATTGACTCCGTCCGAAGACACATTGGGATCGTTCCACAAGACACCGTTCTATTCAACGAAACGCTCATGTATAACCTCAAATACGCCAACCAAGATGCCACTGACGAGGAAGTATATGATGCGTGCCGGGCAGCCAGTGTACACGACAAGATCATGGCCTTCCCCGACGGTTACGAAACCAAAGTTGGCGACCGTGGATTGCGACTAAGTGGTGGTGAGAAACAGCGCGTTGCTATTGCCCGCACGATTATCAAGAAGCCCCAGATCATCTTGCTTGACGAAGCAACGGCTGCATTGGACTCTGAGACAGAGCAGAACATCCAAGAAGCACTGTCTGTCTTGTCGCGCGGGCGCACTGTGCTTGTCATTGCCCATCGACTGAGCACCATCACCACTGCTGATAATATTGTTGTATTGCACGAAGGCCGTGTCGCAGAAAGTGGGACCCATGAGCAGTTGCTGGCTTCTCACGGTCGATATACAGCCATGTGGCAGAAACAGATCCGTGCGCAGACTGAGTCTGTGGGCCTAGAGGCCTTGTCAGGCAAGATATAGTTTTGTATAGTTGGAAATCATTCAGGGGGACTGTGTATATAGAGTTTCCTTGCCCATGGAGAAACAACGTTCTGTAGCGCGGATTCTTTGTTTAGGTGAACAGTCGTATTTGGAAAAGGCTCCGATGGAGATCAGTCAGTGCTTAATTCTAATACTTGTTTTATCACTTGGAATGAACTCGACCATCCGAAGATGGAATTAACCCAGTGTATTCAAAGGCCGAGCAGATCCGAATGAGAATTGAGACCCAGAAAACCAGTCAAATCCCAGAGTCCTTCGGAGTACTCCGGAGCTGAAATTTACATTCACAGTGAGAAATGAGCCTATAGGAAACTGGCCTGGCGTAAGACCATATGCAAGGGCGTACTAGGTGTCTTTAGGCATAACGGAGTACGGAGTACACAGGAGACAATCTATTCAATCGCTTTTTGTTTTGATTTCAGGGGCTTAATGTGATAGCTCGCCTCGTGTATGGGCAAGTATCTTAGCGTCGATCAATGCAGGGTGGATCCGACGTATGCTGTATGTGCTATATACCTCCGTACTCCATATGCATCCTATTGAGGTCCACACCTTGTCTTACAGGGTCTCAGTCCATTGCCACCTGTATTACTCCGTACTCGAGACAATGTCCAGTATTTTTGGTTATTCAATATGCATGATCTCGATTCCTTTATTCCGTGCTGCCTTCTTGACTCCCTTGTAAACTCATAGTTTTCCGGACATGGAGCGCATTCTTTGGCTTGATAGCCTCCGGGGTATTGCCTCAATTTTGGTAGTGATACATCATTCAAAGAGCTTAGAGCCCAAGAGCATTGTTGGTTTTTTGACCAGGTCCTACTGGGATGAACCGGCTGAAGAGAATCGCCGTCTGATTCAACTCCCGCCCATCCGACTTCTCTTCAATGGTCCATCAATGGTAGCTTTGTTCATGGTTATATCAGGCTATGCGATATCTCTTCCTCTTCTCCGATGCCGAGAAGACCTCGGGGCAAGTAATTCGGGGTTTTTTTGTCGACTCTGCTCTGCTGCAACTCGGCGAATCTTTCGAATTTATTTGCCCTCTATTGCTATACTATGTCTCAGCCAATTGATATACTTTTGCAATATGCTTCAATGGGAAGCTGGGGATGATTGGTTAGGCGGGCTCAAGCCCTTGACAGCACCATGGAGCCATATCCAATACGTGCTATCAAGAACAGTGCATCTGTTGGATATCAGCAACCATCAAGTCGATATCAATTTTGATCACAACCGACCGGATATGAAAACCATAAATTACCAACTGTGGACAATGCCAATTGAGTTCCGAGGCTCGTGTGCTGTCTACTTGTTACTCCTGACATTTTCATTTTGGAGACCCCAGCCTCGGTACCTGGCGTTAGCAGGTGTGGCACTATATTGGTTTTACATGGGACATTGGGACCTCTTTTCTTTCGTTGCTGGAATTCTTCTTGCGGAGAGACATGCCGCATCCGAATCCGAACAAGACGGAGAGATTGCACTATCATACTCGTCACCACCTCTCGAGATCCAAAAGCCCGATGCCAAATCTTGGAACAGATTGATAGAGAGTGTATATCTTCAACAGCTTCGAACATCAGCCTCTTTCATTCTAGGGATGTACTTCCTTTGCATGTGCGGTGCTGACCGATTAGCATGGGAGTACCGATGGCTGGTCGTGACTCGATCTCCCGAGTGGGATAATGCTGAGATGATGCCCCGGTGCTGGAGGAGCGTTGGTGCGGTTCTGACGATATATGCGATCAGCAAATCAGCGCTGCTCCAACGACCGCTTAATTCACGGCCACTGCGATACTTGGGTAAAATCTCATTCCCGCTCTATCTGGTCCACCCGACAGTCTACCTTGTTCTCAAAAAGCCGGTTCGAGACTTTCTATGGTGGGCATTTACAAGAACGCCTTATCCTGGTACCATTGAGGCAAGCAAGTATGCTCTACCATTTTTCATCGCTTGGATGGGAACCATGCTCTTATTGGGTATTGTCATGGTGATGGCATCTGAACTCTGGAATCGCTTCGTTGACATGAAGTGCATAGGGCTTGCAAGAAGATTCGACAAATGGGTTTCATGTTAGCGGATGCAATGTCAAGAACGGACTACAAAGGAATCAAAAGAGACACATACGACCAGTACCACTGGGCATTACCATCGTAGTAGGCCTCTCTTGTCACTGAGTTTAGTACAAAAATAGGGCACAATATAATAAGTGAAACAACTTTTATGACTTTATCATGACAGAATACTCTAATGACCCCCAAAGAAAAATATCAAAGACGCCGTTATGCAAGAAACCCCAAAGCGTCAGATCATCCCGAGTTTCATGAAATGGGTATACATGATAAATACTTCGATTACTCCTTCTGAGTGGTCTCAGTCTCGGCCTCAGCCTGCTCATAGCCCTCGGTCTTCATGTCTGTCAGACCGAGATCATCTTCCTCCTCGGCAGAGCGAGTGTAGTCCTCGGTAGTAATCTGGTGGTCGATAGCTGGACTGCAAATATCCTGGACGTAAGAGGAGGCCATCGGGTCTTGCAATGTGATAGTGAACTTGAGCTCGCCATCGATAGCCTGGTCGAGACGGTTGAAGAATCGTTGCCACTTATCCTTATCATCAGAGGCCATGCTGTCGCCTCCAGAGTGTGTGGAATCATCAACATCGAAAATGGCACCCTTCAGTTGATCCCTGATCTCAACTAGCAATCCTTCAACCGTGGTGAAACGTCCACCAAGCGTGCCTGGCTGAACATCCAGGTCAAGCTCAGGACTGTAAAGTCCTGCCGAGTCACTCTTGAGAATATCGCGCGAGAGATCAACCTGGTTATTCACCTGGAGAGTGATACGCCTGCCCTTCTCGGGCACCTCACCACCAGTCTTAATTGCGGACGATTTGTAGCCGCAGTGTCCACAGTTCGTACCGAACAGCAGGACTTCCTTGAAGTAAGGAATGTTGACTTTCTTAATGTTCACCTCAGCTTCCTTGTTGCAACCGGGGCACTCAGCAGGAATGGTGTAGACCTGGCCATCAACGATATCGAGGTCCTCTGGGTCTCCGGCATCAAGCTGAGCTGTGTCCTCTTGGCTGACAGCGTTTGCATCTGCGGAAATTCCCAACTCCTCGTTCTGTTCGTGGGTACGCGGGTATTCACGGCGCGTGTACTTGTTTCCACGATCGGTGCTGTTGGGCGCAATCCATGAATTTCCAGTGAGATCATCAAGGGAAATGCTGAAGGGGAAAGCGTCCTCGCGGTTCATGATCTTCTCAAGGCTCTCGATGATAGGCACAAGGGATTCGTAGAGTTCAGGAGCTTGTTCTTTACGAAGATCCTGCTCTCCTGACAAATTTTCGTGAATGAGTTGAACCACTAAAAATAAGAAAGTTAGCATCTTGTAATCAATATCTATTGCATTGAGTGTGACATACTGCCTTCGACATTGGTCAGCTGGCCAGTTCCCTTGGGAACTTCAATCTCATTGCCGAGTTTCGTAGTAAGTTTGAAACTGGAAACATCGCTGCGGATAACTTGGCGCTAAGATTATCAGTTAGCTTAAGCGGGGGAAGAATTATCAAAGTTGTGGAGATACATACCTGAAGATCCTCTTCATTCTCAACCCTTAAAGTGTAAACTGTTCCACGCTCCTGAATCTGGCCGGCCGATTTGATCGAGTTGTTCTTGAGGAAGCAGTGTTCACATTCGAAACTTTCGAGGATAATGTCTCTGAAATAAGGAACTCGGAGCAGGAGCAAGCGGGTGACTCTGAAGCCATCGTAAGTTAGCAACGTGCAAAACATGTGAAGTGAGTAGAAACGAACCCTTGCTTGTGGCAGTTCATGCAAAGTGACTCAATAGACATTGCACCGGTGTCTTCATCACGCTCCACAAGATCGCCGGGCTTTTGGAATTGCGACTCAAACTGCGCCTCGAGGGCATCATTATCGGCTTTGCTGACCATTGTGTAGGATATGTTGAAAATTAAGAAAGAATTTAAAAGTGGGCTCGAAGGGGAATATGTAAAGTAGATCTGAAATTGAAGCAAGAAATTCTGATCCAAAAAAAAAATTATCGGAGCCACGGGAACATTCCTTGCTGTTCTGCGCGGGGCAGATGAGGGGCTGACAAAGGGGATGAGGTAATACATTTCTGCCCATGCTATTCGTTACCGCCTTTCTATGGGTGGGCGGTGGCTTTGATTTAGTGACGTCTAGATCTATGTGGGTGTAGATCTTCATGTACAATGTAGTACAATATGTATGCGTTGTGCATGAGTATACTTTAGCGCGCAATGTGGGTTCATGTTTCCAGTTTCCACTCATTGGATCTCTTGTATCCACTCGGAACATCAGACTGCAGATCTAGGTAGTTAGCATCATCTTGGAATAGAGGATTTGGGGGTCTTGGGGGGGCACTTATAAGAAAAAAAAAAGTGGCCGTTTCCACCACCAAGGTAGTAGAAACGGCAGTCCACCGGCTATTCCCTAGCCATAACATTCTGCTCCCATGTAGAGAACCATCCTTGACACAATGTCCGACTCCCGAAGACAGTACAATGTTTCTTTCGAGGCACAGAGATCGTGTGATTTCCCATTCGTCGCTTTTCAGTTCACCCCAGTCAGACAATAGGGAGGAGCCTCGACCGGGAACGCATAGCAGCAGATGAGCATTGTAGACAAGCCAAAGCTTTGATCCTCACTCGAGAGAGGTCCCACAACACTCACTGCATGATGCACACACGCTGGAACCGACCAAGGACATCGCCCTCATGCCGCCAGGAAATGGGCTGATCAGTCAAAGCGTGCGAAAAATAGAAATGGTACGTTTTCTGAACCAGAACAATGTGATCAATCGAGAGACAACAGGGCAAGCATCGAATTCAGGCGCAAACAGGAGTTGAGGAATGTCCGGGAGTAGACGATAGTCGATGGACAGAGCCCACGAAACCACAAAAACCCACACAGCCTTCACAAAGACAAGCCAAACTTCAAACTTGGCCAAGGCACAGTAATCTCAACCGAATTTGCTTGACGGCCGTCCATCTCCACAACTTCAGTCAACTCGCCCTTGTTTCTCCGATACTGTTGCATGAGCATGAAGCCGAGTCTTTTGTGTGTGGTACAGTACCCTTTGGGACAGGTTTTTGTTTCCTCTCCCGGTTGACCCAGGGGGATCTTCCAGGAGGGCATTTTGTGAAGCGGACAAAGAACATCCAGAAAAATCGCTTCCTTCTTCCCAAGGGAAGGAACAATGATGAAAGTCATTGTCGAAGTCGGCGCCCATCAATCTATTCACAAACTACTTTGCGAAGAGACGGTTAACACGGTCGGTCAGGATCTTCCAACGAAGTCGCATCGGTGGCGGGTGCCGTGATACGAGGCCCCTAGCCGCCTGTCAGGCGTAGGAATAACAAACCCCAAGAAGGTGGAACGTAGAGGCAAGATCCCCAGGGATCCTGGAATAGGAAACATGCACAGGAGCAGACAGTTGAAGCTAGCAGAATTGATGAGAGAACACAGGCAAATAAGTTCGAAAAACACCAAATGGTCTGGGGAAATTTGTTGCCATCCGGAACGTGCCAACAGTCCGCAATCCCCGATGTGCTCCTGAGACCAACATCGAAGAATCATAGGGCAGCATAACCAAAGAACCTCGCGACAATTTCAACTGTGGAAATGCCTGGGCAATTTCAGGGAGAGGAAATTTGACTCCGGCGAGTGGATCCTGTGGATATGCTGACACTATGACTGTGAGTAAGGATACTGCTGTGTTCTAGGCAACAAGTCTCAGAGCCAAGCCATTTGATGCCCTAGGGTATTCGAGACTTAAATGTCGTATTCAATTGCCATCTGGTCGCGCTGCCGTAGTTGCTCCTAAAGGTGACATCTGATACCGAAGTACCCGGCATGCTTCGCCCACGTTCTCTTCTCGCTGGATTAGTATCCAAGGCATAGGGTGACCATCCGTTCGTGACCGGCATGCAGCGTCCAGCATAGGTAAACCGACGCGGTCTCCATTTGGATAACGCATAGTAAACCGTCTTTTGTGCCCGAAGGCTCTGGCTGATTCGGATCTCTTTCGCTTAATCGGACCATCACAGTCAGTCTCAGCTATTCGTATGATCCGGCATGCACAATCCGTGAAGCTGTGTCCCTAAGGACATTGAACCGGAGAGGGCTTAGGGCTTAGCTCCAATACCTTCTGCGCCGAAACGATACAAATCACCCGAGGGAGAGACATATGTGACGGTTTACCATTAAAGGCAGCAGACGAAATGGAGATTCGAAAGGGTTGATCTGTACATCTGTGCCTCGAGAGGCAAGAGACTCGAGTGGCTCCACACTCAGGAAACGGTCGCGGTGGAACTCCAGCATGTCTGAACAGAAATTGGGTCCAATGAATGTCGTCGGAGTAAACAAGATTCTTGGTAGCTGAGGAACTGGCCGCGACGGTTTAAATTGTCTGTTGGAAGAGTGTGAGTGGGTAGTGGATAGAGTAGGCGGACTTCATGACAACAACAGGACCCCGGGTTGTCGCGACTACCTAAATGCGGGCAAGCGCGACGAGACTGACGCGACTAGCACGTGACCCATTTACGTGACATTACCGGGCATATCCTGGTTACATAATCAGCTACGAACGCCAAGACCGCAATTGTTCGAATCACGGAGATTCACTTTTTGGAACTAGCCAATGTCGATGGGGCGAATACCTTCATTGACATGAATTTGGCATGATAGATCTTACGAGTATTTATGATGGGGGGTCCAAACCAAATTCGCGAAGCTTTCGGCATTGCTAAGAACTTTCTGACCCCAGTCCTCGATCGAGGTATGCACGTTCGAGGTGTTTATCTACATCCAGGTCTATGGTGCTGACTGTCCTCAAGAGGAAATACAAAAGACCCAAGGTAAATCTTTGCTGCAGATCCTCAGTGAAACCTCTGGGGAGAATGAGGGTTCTAGTGACGATGCCGCCAGACCAACGGTGATCAATCGGGCTTTGGATATATTAACCAGTCTTCACAAATCCTTTGTTTTGCCTGCGGATCAACATAAACTCCTTCAACCTTTTGACGAGGTTGGAGATTCGCCTTCAGAAGATGCTAAGCACCGTCGTATGCTACATGCATTGCTGGACCTAATCTCCCTGGAAGGGATATATCCTTCGCTGTCATCTGGCGCTGGGATTCCGCTGCAGCAACGCGTCATCTCGGTGTTACCTGCCGGTGTTATTGCGAAGCAGGCTCAAGTGGCTGCCAGCAGTACACCGCACGATAAGCCTCTTTTGCGTCGCATAATCGACGTTTTGCTCGACATTCTCTTCGACCCGAGACCAGGGCTTCAGCCGATCATTCGTGGTCGTATATTAAGTGACATAATCAGTGGCATTTGTGACCTGGCTTTCAATCCAAATACTCCGGGGCCGTCTCTCCAGGACACATATCAGAAATCGTTGGCCAAGCTAATTGATGAGTACGTTATCTTTTCCTCTGGTTCCTCTCGGTAATATTGACAGCCTATAGTACTCCAACCACTGTCTTGCTGCCTACGATGTCCACATTTTTGCAGTCGGATACTGCACCATGGTTCAAGGCAACAATCTCCAGCCAGATCTCGCACGTTCCGCTACGACCTGGCGGCGTAGTGCAAACCATCATGTTCATTGCATCGCAGTTTTCCCCATCGCTAGGCCAGGAGGCGCAGGACCAATCAAACGGTCCTCGTTTAACTGTTCAGGCCATCATGCAAATATCACGACTCCTTTCTTCTGTGCCATCAGATGTTGACCCAACTGTCTATTTTGAGACAATTGCTCCCCAGCTGCTAGCATTGATAGACGGTGACGATCCAGATCTAAGGAAAACCGCATCATACGTCGTCGGAAATGGCATTTTGGGGAAACGTGCTTATGGTGCTCCTGGTACTGTTGGTCACTCCATCTTTGTGGAGCCAATATTCAACGCACTCACCGCGAACCTCGATGCTAAATCGAGGCGATGGATCACTCGGTTCACCAACATTGAAGGCTCTATGCCACCCACCACTGAAGCCAATCCCGCATCAAATGTCTTGGTGGATAATGCCACGGTGGACCTGGCTTTAAACAGGCTCAGATGTCTGACGCTACAGCACCCAAACCCTGGTCTTGTGAAACGAATTGTGTACCCAATTCTTCTTCCGCTGTGGGGCTTGGTCTGGTTTTCCAAGGAGGAAGAACAGGCCACACTCCATGAACAGGTCCTCCCCCTGCTCCAAACGTATTTTGGTATCTCTGTTGGTGTGCAGCCCCTGAAAAAGCTGGTTGATAATCTTCTTTGGGATGGGGGAGCGGCGTGGACATATGGTAAAGATTCGGACGACGGAATCGTGTTGCTGAGGCGGAATGAGGACACGAATCAGCATTCAAATCTGATACGGCTGATCGATTCCCTTCAAACACGCGCAGAACTTTTCGTCAGTCTCATTGGCTCGGATCCTAGCAGCGAGGAACGGACCGGCGATGTCTTCCTCTATGTCAGTGAGAACTGGCTGGTGCAGCACCAGGGCCCTCCAACCCCTCGCAACACATTGAGTGGGGGTCCTGCTGGTGAAAGTGATAACATCATTCAGAAGCTTGTCAGTGCCAAGGTTGCAGAGAAGCTGCTTGAGCACTTCAAAGAAGCACTGACTCGACGCCCGCTCCGAGTTTTAGAGCTCATCAAGCAAGTCATTGATGGGGAGCTACATAGACTTATCGCCCAAGAAAAATCGATGCAAGGCCAAGTAAATAGCAAGGTGTCCCTGTCATCTTTAGCTAATATTGTGGAAACGGGGAACAAAGAAGAGGCGCAATTAGCCAACGACTCCTCCGAGTCTGTTTCAACAGCCTTCAGTCTGATGTCTACGCTTCTTGCATCCGCCGACTTCTCTCCCACTGCTGAAATCCAGCCCCTCCTTGAATCTCTTAAGAAGGACCTTGATCAACTCATTCCTTTGCTCCCTTCTACCCTTTCAAAACCAGCAACGACCTCATCTATGCTGCTAGAGATTCACCTTGCCGCTGCAGACGAGACCACAGTCAAGGCAGCACCGGCTCACGTTCAGGATCTTGACACACATCGTCAAGCACTTGCGAATCTCAACTCAGATCTCCCGCCTGTGCAGGCCGAGGGCCTATCGCTGATTTCCAAACTGATCATGAATTCATCGCCTGTTATTGATGTGGGGTCAACCCTCACACTCCTATTATCAGTCATCACCGACAGTTCCAAGACCGCTGCAAACGAAGAATACACATATCTCGGCGCAATAAAGATAGTTGGCACACTGGCATCACGCCATCCGCGTACCGTGATCAAGACCTTGGTTGAGGACTACGCAGACAGACGCGAAAAACGAGCATTGGACGAAAGACTCAGGATTGGTGAGTGTCTGTTGCGAACGGTGCAGGAATTGGGGGACGCGCTGGCTGGTGAGACGGCCAAAATTCTTGGTGAGACTATGATTGCCGTCGCTGGACGGCGCGGCAACAAACAACATGCACAGGAAGCTCGCAAGAAGCAACTTGCCAAGGAGAAACGGGAACAGGAACGTGCGCAGCGCAAAGAAAAAGAACCGACCATGCCTGAAGGCTGGTCTGTCTCATCTGGAGTAGCCAAAGCTGCATCCGAACTCGACCTCACAGACCTCCATTCGGATGACGAATCCCCAGAGCAATCAGCATACGCCACAAATGTCGTCGCTGCATGGGCTGCCGGTGCATCCGCAGATGATGCCCCTGATGACCTTCGCATCCGGGCATCGGCCATTTCCATCCTTGGATCGGCTATCAACGTGAACATCCTCGGCCTTGGCCCCGTCATTCTTTCCTCCGCGGTCGAGCTCGCACTTGCTACCTTGACCCTCGAGAGGGAACCGGAGAGTGCCATCCTCCGCCGAGCGAGTATCATCCTGATTTTGGACATTCTCAAAGCTCTTGAGGCAGCGCGGGAGACACGCGGAAACCAGGACATCGGGTTTGGCTTTTCGCTTTTGGACGACTCGTCTTCCAGTTCTGCCGGCCCATATGGTTCCAGCATGCAGGGACAGTCTACCATTGGCAGTATCCCTGCTATTCTACGCACGCTTCGCTTTGTCGAGAGTAGTGAGGAGGATGGGCTCGCTCGTGGAAATCTGCGCGCTTTGATCGAAAGCTTGGAGGCCTGGTCGGAGAAGTCTTTGATGTGGGGAATTGGCGCCCAGAACGGTCAAGATGCCTTCAACCCACAATTTGGACTGGGCGACAGAATTGCCGGTCTACATATAGATCCCATGGCAGGGGAAATTAGTGGACGTCCACGCATCGAGGAGATTGAATAAAGTAAAGGGTTACATCACACTGGTCCTGTACGATACATAAAAGCTCTCCGTTATCCCTATGAATACCTTTTTTTTTTTTTTCTTCTTAAGGTCAATATTCAGTATCTATCACATAAAAATCAAATCAAATGACAGTAGGTGAAAATAGGGCCATATGTATCTGACCACAATGTGACAAAGGTCATATCTCAAACAAGAGTCTTTCAAATATCAACAGCCAATCAGCAATCTGATCACCTGTTTCCACCAGCATCATTGGTCTAGTGGTAGAATTCGTCGTTGCCATCGACGAGGCCCGTGTTCGATTCACGGATGATGCACATCTTTTTTTTGTTCTTGTTCTCTAGACCATATACTACAAAATTGCGATACTAGGTGGTTACAGAGATAGGCTTGATATTAGATTAACAACACTTTTCTTCAAATGATTCAATATGTGTGGCTGTTGAATTGTCACTGACTGAAATATTAATACTCGGGGGATGTCCGCTATATATATGAGCGCCCATCCTAACCTCACGATATATATCTCCTATCAATGTCTGAAAATATACAACTCATTATCTAAGAAAGATAATTAATACATCTTTTACTATTGCTGTGTAATTTCGATTGATTTAAAGATTCACCAAAAATATGCGTCAAATCAATTAAGAAAAAAAGGTTGATTCAAAGGTGGTCGGTTTTGGTAGGAAAATGGCGAATGGGTAAATACGTAGCAACAGGTATGTTTATTGCCTATGATTCAGTACGTTCTACAAAACCTCCTCTCCTGGTGTGTATCTCACATCGCTACACTGAGCGGGTGAAAGCCAAACGGGTCGGCTGTTTGCAAGTGGCCTGGCCAACAGACCTTTTTGTATTGCAATGTCAATGAACATTGTTGGCCAACTTTCCCGGGAACTGGATCTAATTCATTGACTGCGATGGTTCGGGAATGGCCGCAGGTGGCAGTACCCATATAAAATGCAAAATAGAAGACACATCTCACCAATCTAGGGCAAATACAGATAAACACGGACTACCACTTGCAGGGCGAGCTATTCTATTGAGTTAATATTGTGCTGAAATTCACGTCAAAAGAAAGTGATCTCTAGACTGAAACTACACAAGTGGTTTCTGCCTACCGTGCACATTCATAACTTCATGTACATACATTCGCAGAGCAAAACAAAAGAAATTGGTAAACCATGTTCCCTCACTTGAAATTCTCACCTTATCTGACTTGAAACCGGGTATCCACCAACACAAAAATGCCTCCCTCATGTAGGCGGGAGAGCCAAGCACTGGTCAAAATTTACCAGGCATTGGGGCCCTGGGCTGCGGGGCCTGAGCTTCCACGTCCACCACGATTATTGTAGCCACCGCGCCCGGGGCCACGTCCGCCGCGACCTCCGCGACCACGTCCACCACGACCGCCTCGTCCACCACGGTGGCCCTGGAAGTGCTGACGAGGGGCTTCGGGGCGAGGGCCTGCTTCCATGCGAGCCTGGCGTTCTTCATTGCTCATGTCAAACTTGTTCTCAATTCCAATCAGCTTGCAGAAGGCAGCAGTCTGCGGGTTTGTGTACTCCTTTGGCTGCTCATGGGTGTCGATCGAGACATGAGGGTCATAAATTGGGGCAGTCACGACAAAGTCAGTGGGGACGTTCATGAGCCCCGCCTTGACAATGTTCTCTTGGACCCATTCCTCTTCTTCGGCGATACGCTGTTGGTAGACTTCATATCCTTTGTGGAAAGGAACGGGACCATTAGGCTGCCCACCGAACTCAAGCTCATCAGCAAAGGTACGAAGAATGGCCAGCCACTCCTTGTCGTACTGGAGTCGCAGGGAAGACTCCACCGCAGCATCATCCTGTTCCGAAATTGGCTCGATTTCAAGCAACTCAACAAAATCATCGTGGTTGTGCGGCTTGTCCAAGGTTAGGAATTGTGTCACAAGGTTTTTGATATTCTCGGGAGCTGGAAGATTCTGGATGGGGCGGTTGGAGACATGTTTGGACAGAGAGGACTGCTCTAGACTGGGTGGAAGAGTGGTTTCGGTTCCGCGGACACGATCATCCACACCGTCACTCCACCAGGGATCTGGAGAGCGATCACCATGCCAATTCTGAGAGAGATCGGCTTTTGGAAGAGCCTTCTCGGGTGGAGGAGACTTTGCACTCGCGTCGCTCCCTGAGCTCGAAGAAATGCTAATTCTGTCAATATTATCGGCGACTTCGTTGGTCGCCTGGACATCCTTGCTCGCCTTGATCTGCTTGGAGATCTGGAAATCTTCACTTGTGTCAAAGAACGGTGAAGGTTTGTGCTGGGCAACTAATTCCTCAGACGAGATATCCATATGACTGTTATCCTGGTTGGCTTTGTCGGGGGTTTCGATGTTTTCACCGCCGGCTGGGGCGGATTTCACTTTTTCTCCATCGGCACCACGTGTGAACTTTTGAATGGGCCCGCCCCCGATTTTGACTGTTTCTTCAAACGTGATATTCCGAGGAACTTTCGGCTGTCGCTCCCTGATCAGACGCATGAAGTCGTCGTGGTCACGCTTCTCTTTCTCAGCCCGTCGGGCTTTATCTCCGAATTCATTCCAAGCCTTGATGCGGGATTGTTCATCTCCCGTGGCAGTACCAAGCAATTGGTGACCAGCAAGGGCATTGGTGTTCAGGTTGCTTCGTGGAATCGAAGTAGCTTCATTTGGATTGGTGGCATTGACGGGAGAACCGCGGGGGCTCAAAGGGTTGGATTTTGCGCAATGTGGACTATGGGGTACCTTTGCAGTGAAACGAACATGTAAATGGGCTGAAAGCCAATAGGCGGGCCGCAGATGATCTAGAGCTTCACGTGCAGCGACACTTCCGAGCTTTCCTGAATCGGAATCGGCTTTGAAGCCTGACTTCTTGCGGAATAAGGTTGCGTAATCTCCATGTTTCTCGACTCCCTTCGGCCAATCGTGAGACAAACCGATGTCAATTTGGGTGCGAACTTGAAGCAGCTTGCGCACATCCAGCTCCCGGATATGATAAACGGAAGAAACATCGTCCCTGTTGTATGGCAATCGTTCATAGTGGGCCTTGCGGTAGTCGTAGCCCTTCCAGATGCCAGACATTCCAGAGATTCGGAGAGGCCCAAAGCGGATGATATTGGCGGCGCCCATGAAATAGATGTTGGGGGCCACCCAACCGCCGTAATAGAGCTCGGACAGATGATTGCTCGCCTCATGATTACCTCCGATGAACAGTGTTAGATAGGGAGCAACACGAGCCCCGCTGTAGTACTGATGAAAGTCACCAATTTGCTTGAATTTGTCGGGAACCGAAAGACAAGTCGCATCATTGGCATTACGCAGGGCCTAGTTTTGTCAGTCAACATATGGTTATGGATGAGGAATGACAAGGAACACACCTGAAAGTCTCCGCCAATGATAACCAGGTCAACAGACTCCCAGCCTTTCTCAGTGGCCTTGCGATCCACAGTCTCATAAATGTCGTTGAGGCTGCCATGGCCCTATATAAGATGATTAGCAACTAGCTATGAATTGGATATGTTACATGGAGTGGGGTATTTCGATGTAATATTACTTACGCAGCCTTCCACGGCAATGCGTACTGGTGCCATCGTGGACGAATCCGACTTAGCTGTTGGGTTCGAATAGCAGTGAAAAAGTGAAAATCCTCAGAATCAGGCTGTCTGAGACTGGAAAAAAAGTTTCTGAAAGCAAATGCCCGATGCAAAGCTGGCGGCAATTGCAGGAAAGAAAAGAGAAAACAAGCGAGGAGTATGGATAGGAGATGGAAAGGGTAGAGAGTAGAGAGATGTAGATGGGAAGAAGCGGGTGGAGCTTGCTTTTAAGCTACCGCGCGGCAAATCTCTGAATAGCAAACGAGCTATTGTCTTCCGTTTGTCCCTATTGTCCTCCATTTGTCTCCATTGTCATTATCATTCAATCGGCAATTCCTTTGATTTCAATAGGAAGATTTTTCTCCCAACAAGGCGCAATGTCTCAGGATTCCTTTCTCAATCAGGCTGTCTCGGCTGTCCCCCTCGGTTCGTCGACATCAGCTTATCTGCAAGCGATGCACACCCGACTTCTCCACGAGGAATCTAAACCATTGAATTTCAAACAGAAGATAGACCACTGTGGGGCATGTGGGAGCATTAGAAAGCCCCATTGGAGTAAAGTTACTGAGGTCAAGCTGAAAAAAAGCAAGCTTCTAGCCTCATCGGCACCCAAGCGTGCCACAGTGTACAAGTGTTTACGCTGCTGCAAGCGGACTGTACTGCCTCGACAAAATTCAAGGAAACCTGTCACAAAACCTTCGCCTAGAGGAGCTACGACTACGTCTACTCGAGGGTCGACTCCAGTAGGCATTGACGTGAAAGGTTCAACGCAGGCCTCGACAGATATCAAAGCAGTTGACAATCAAAGCAGCAAAAAGAGAGCCAAGGCAAGAAAGCAAGGTGGTCTTCAAGCCCTTCTAGCTTCCAAACAACGTGCCCAACCTTCACTTGATCTGCTCGACTTTTTGCAGTAGAGGTCGCGCACGTGAATCTATCGCCAAATCGGGACTAGCGCGGGGCAGCTAGCTTGCCAGCGACTCCAGGCCCGTGACGGTGACCAACACCACATCTCCAGCGCGTGTGTGTCCGCAAAGTCGAACTTGATTTTCTTTCCTTCTTTACTTATTTCACCAAACTACCTACTTATTGGTTACATCGCCACCACAATGTCGTCGTACTCGGACGACGAACATGATCCCCAAGTGGATGAGCTCCGCGAGACCGCCTTGGTCACGCTCGAGGCGTTGATCAGCTCCTGCAACAAACAGATGCAACCATACCTAGCGAATACCACTCAATCAGCTCTTCGATTTCTGAAATATGATCCAAACGTCGCCGAAGTGGAGGACGATGAGGAGATGGGAGGCACACAGGACGATGGGAGTGAGGATGATGCCACGGAGGAACCCGACCTAGAAGACGACGAATTCGAGGACTTCGAAGAAGAAGGCGGCTACAGTGATATCGACGACATGAGCTGGAAGGTACGCCGGTGTGCTGCCAAGCTCCTCCACACAGTCATCTCCACCTACGGGCTTGGTCGCGCTTCGGACGCCTCTGCCCTGTTCCAGCAGATTGCCCCGGCTCTGATCTCCCAAATCAGCAGGGAAAGAGAAGAGAGTGTGAAACTTGAGGTGGTGTCTACATTAACGGCTCTTGTTCGGAAAACCGGCGAGGGCTCTATGATCGTCACATCCAATGACTTCCTAGAGGCTGTGGGTGGCTCAAAGAATTCTCGCAAACGTAGACGCCAAGATAGTGACGCGTCAATGATTGACTTTGAACCGAGTGCTGGAACCTCGTCAGCAATGGATTCTCCTGCTGTCCCATCGTCCCCCAAGTCTGGTTCTCAGGCTGACCTAGCCCGCTCCGTGCCTTTGATTGTACAGAACCTTGTCAAAGTTTGGAAGCAGGCTTCGATTCCTCTCAAACAAGCTGCAATAATTCTCCTCAAAAGCCTTTCTTTGGTTCGCTATGGTGGTCTTGCAGACCATCTCCAACAAATTGAAGACCTCATTGCGGATGCCATCAAGGCCTCGTCTCTCTCGGGGAGCACAGCGGCTCATACTGGAGCTGCTGTCAGTGCAGGTACACTCCAAATTGAAACCCTAGGTCTCATTGCAGTGATCGCCGAGACTCATCTGTCTGATGCGCTATTGCCATTCCTGATCGCCCTAGTACCTGGTGTGGTCGGAGCTGTGAACGACCGCAACTACAAAGTTAGCAGTGAGGCATTAGGTGCCGTGGAGCAAATTGTGAAAGCAATCACACCCCCCACGCGTATCTGCAAATCCTTCCGATGTCACCCTGCAGCTGCAGAAGCTCTATGAAGTTGTCCACTCTCGAATCACCGACACAAGCGCTGATCTCGAAGTCCGTCAACGGGCGATTCATGTGTTCGGCGTCATTCTTGCGCGCACATCAGGAGAACGGGGTGTAGAGTTCCTTTCGTCTGAGAAGAGAACTAATGGTCTCGCTGTTCTGGTTGACCGGATGAAGAACGAGACAACTCGTTTGTCCGCTGTTCGTGCAGTTGATGATGTTGTGGTTCTCGCCAACCGCAAGCAGGATATCTCCAGTGATTGGGCCAACAATGTAGCTCTTGAGCTAGGGTCGAACCTGCGCAAATCCGATCGTGCCTTGAGAGGTGCGTGTTTGGAAACTCTCCGCAGTCTTTCCATGAACTCCAACACCAGATCACACCTCACTCCTGAAACCATCACAGCACTGGAGAGTGCTGCTTTGCCCCTCCTCGCCGCTGCTGATTTCCACACCCTTACGCCCACGTTGATCATCATTGCCAAACTTGTTCCTGGCAACGCTAGACTACTGGTCAACAGCGGTTTGATCTCTGCTATCTGCTCAATTGTGACCAAACCACTCGTTGGAACTGTTCTGAAAGCGTTGTTGCTGCTGGTCAAAGTCATTGGCGACGAAGGTGCGGGTGCTAGTTTGATGCAGAACCTCCTCCGTGATGTGGGAATCACAGGGGACTCATCAGTTGTGGGAAGAGCCGTCGGCACCCTTCTGGTCCACGGAGGACCGAATCTCGGAGTCACAATGGAAGATTTCTCAACAGAACTCAAGACTGCACGGGATGATAGCCGAAAATGCCTTGCCCTCGCTATCCTGGGCGAAATCGGGTTGCGAATGGGGCCAGAGTGCTCCTTGACCCCGAATATATTCATTCCCCATTTCGAATCTCAGTCAGATCATGTACGCTTGGCTGCCGCTACTGCTCTCGGAAATGCGGCCGCAGGCAGCGTCAAAGCTTATCTCCCAATCATCTTGAATGGGTTGGAAAAATCAAATGCACAAAGCTATTTGCTTCTCCATTCGGTGCGAGAATTACTTCAACATCCCGAGGTCGTACGTCCTGATCTTGCTCCATCCGCTCACAAATTGTGGCACGCACTCCTTGTCGTCTCCGAAGAGGAAGATAACCGGGCTGTCGGGGCTGAATGTGTGGGCCGTTTGGCACTCCTTGACCCAGTTTCTTACATTCCCCACTTCCAAGTAAGTCGCGCTTGTTCTTTTACGTTTGCAATACTAACATCGTGCCATAGGAATACCTAGCCAATGCCGACCCGGCTGTTCGTGGCGTGGTGATTTCGGCATTCCGCTATACGCTTGCTGATTCAAGTGACGCTTTTAACGACGTACTTCGACCGTTGATGGTGCCTCTTTTGACCAAGATGCTCTGTGATAGTGATTTGGGCAACCACCGGCTTGCGTTGACCACCCTTAACTCTGCAATCCATAACAAAATGGATCTTCTGCTTCCTCACCTTGATGAGCTGCTGCCGGCTGTTCTTGGTGACACCCAAATCAAGCCAGAGCTCATTCGCGAAGTACAGATGGGCCCCTTCAAACACAAGGTGGATGATGGGCTTGACTTGCGAAAGGTCAGTATCTCTTGTCATTCCCCCATGGATCACTGCTGACATTCCCATTCACAGAGTGCTTACGAAACTCTTTACGCCTCGCTCGACACCTCATTCTCCCGTACCCACATGGACGAACTATTTGACCGAATCCTGGCCGGTATCGATGACGAACAAGATATCCGTGCAATCAGCAATCTCATGACATCTAAACTGATAAAAATCGCGCCGGAGGACACCGAACGGCGACTGGACTCTTTGTCAGAGCATTACACCTCAGTTCTTTCATTCAAGCCAAAAGAGAATGCCGTCAAACAAGAGCTGGAGAAGGTCCAAGAGGCATCCCTCGGCATCCTGAAGGTTACCAGAGAATTGAGCAAGGCGTTCCCTAGTGCGGAGGCATCAGGCGATCTTCACAAGTGGAAGACATATATGGAGTGGGTTCGGCGGACGTTCTCCCCGCAGATGACTACTTTGGAACTGGATTCCTGAACTTGATGCAATGGAACTCGAAGCTTGGACAGTTTCAATGATTCTCTGCGATTGCTTTGCGATGAGGAACGCAATGGCAAACCATTTATCGCGATTAAATTAGCTTACGACAGAACACAATGAGATACATGATCTCAGCATCGCTACGCTTACAGTATTAGCTTTTTAAATGACCGTGTATTCCTTGAATAGAGAATAAAACCAGAGCCTCGTCTAGCGCCGTCAATCTCGGTTTATCTCGAGTTTAGCAGCGTTTATTCCAGTCGCAGGAAATATCCATTGTGGGCATCTTCAAAGATCTTTTTCTAGTTTCCTTCCTGAACAGTCTCCAATTACTATGTCCAATTGAAAACTCGATTACTTGATAAGAATACATAGTCACCACTTTTTTCACGCCTCCTTGATTGGAGTCATGTCAGGTGTAAGTTCTCCGGGGAAAGGCTTGCGCGCCCACACACGTCGTCTAAACAAGGATCAGCATGTCAATCGGTTGATATCTCACCACAAGATGAGTCGACACTCACGCTTTCTGATAAAGATGATATCTCGGATTCTTAATCTCCGACCGAACCTTGGCCAAATAAACCGTCACCTCATCCTTTGACCAAGGATGCGGCGCCCCGAAATGGGTAAGCAACCACATACACCAACCCTCCATACCAGAAAGCCAATGGTGGGAATTAATCACACCAGCCTCTTTAAAATTCTGATCGCGAGCCCACGGCCCAATCGGCCACAAGTATGGCTTCTCCTGAAAATCCACAAACCCAGCCTTTTCCATCGCACCGCGCATGGTGTCAATAGTGTCCAGCGAGAGTCCGGCGCGGGCACCACACCCGCTCATAGTCGAGCCCCAGCTGCGCAGAATACTGTCTGCTGGCAGACTGTCGTCGTCACACAAGATATAGGGACAGCCTTCGAGTTGTTCAATCCAGCCTCCTGGTCGGAGGTTTCTACGAGAGACACCCGGTAGTTAGTACACATAGTTGCGAACAGGTAAAAGCATCAGGAGAATTGGTTAATTTACTCAAAGGCGCTTCTGTAGACGTGATCCCACCCTGCGGCATCGAATGAGCCGATCATAATCCGCATGTGGATTAGGTCGTGAGCATCTTTCCAGGTCCATTCTTCTAGGACGTTGTCGACTTCAAGGATGCAGTTGGGTGGCATCCATGTCACGGGAGGTGGAAAAAGGTCGACTCCTCGGACAGTTGCTAGATGGTGTTATTTTCTTTTGGAAATCCTCAGGGGTATCGGCATGGCACTCACCAGATGGAAACATGTCGGCAACATCACTATATAAGTGTTATCTCAGTATAAATCCTGTTTTGTTACGGATGAGGGAATTGTCTTCTGACATACATAGCCCAGTCAGCCTTGCCCGTTCCAATGTCGAGGATATGCTTGGGGTTCTTCCCCACAGGTGCTCTAAAGAGCGGGTTCTCTTGGTCCGAGTCTGAGACAAGAGCTAGCAAATGGCTAGAGCTGTTATAAGCGAGAATGATACATAGCAAGATTGGTCGTACACACCCAGCTTCGTAGGACTCAAATGCTTGATCATCCGATGGAATTCTGGTGAGAGTCGAGGATGAGTTCATAGCTCGCTTAGTGACAGATGCTATAGCATGCATACAGATATTCCCTGTCGCTCAGTGTTTGATACCTTGGGAGAACAAGTAAGCCACAAGTCGAGCGGAATGTGCCGAACACACCATGAAACCATACCGTCTGCCATTCTCGATCAGGCCATGATAGATTGAGGAGGTGATAGACGTTGTCTCCCTATTTGGTACTGTGTTAGAGATCAATCTTGTGAAAAGTGCGGAAAATGCGATTATTTACGACTGCCAGTCATCATAATTGGCTGTCAGATAGACATCCGTATCCTATGACTTGTTAGAATAGCGAAGAGAAGCGATCAATGGACTTACAACTGCAATCTTTGGTGATTGTGCCATGGTTCGATATTTGGGGGATGATACGGAAAGAGGGTAAAAGAGGAGGTTAAGGGGCCGTTAAAATGCACAGTACTAATTTTCAACGGGTTTCACCCTCCCGCAATTCTGAAGCAGGGTCGAGTGATATTGGACGAAAAGATACATGCGGCTTAAGATGCTCCACGGTGGAATCCCAAAGGGGGTTGGTGCAGTCTTAGCCACGTTGTGCGGAGGGCTCCCGTCGATCATTAGACGTTGAGCATGGTATGCCGACATTCTCGATAGTTCCATATATTAAGACAGTCTGTCATATACTCAATGTATTTACTCTTGGAATGACCCCTTGAATGATTCATTCACATCGAAAATACCAGAGAGAATTGAATCCATCCTAATGTAACTATCTCAGAAGAACAGTGCCTAGGTTGTCTGATATCTAGGTATACAACCGAGAAGAATGCCGAGACCAATTAGAGACACCAAACTGCCAAGTAGCGCTCACAAATCAGAATCTATGCAGGATCTTCCTACAAGAGCGACATGATCATCAAATAATACGTTCTGATAATCCGCTGAAAAATGAGTGCCGCAGTCGTTCGATGAAAGGTGACTCTCACCCGGACAATAGTCACCTGAATATTAGCCGTAGAATAACCACAGGCTGGTGAGTTAGTAGTGACCGAAAGACCACTAACGAGTCCCCACTGTGGTGTGTTTTTGCTTTTGAGGTTTCGTGTAAATTACTGTGCAGGAATCACGCTCGTTATTCCGCGGCTTAATCAATATCACCACGGCACAATTTCACCGAGTAGGTAGGTGTATAGTGGCCAGGGATCGACCTCAATATATTCAGCATTGGTGCTTGGGTTGTATGCTTGATTTCAACTCGGTAGAAAAAAGTCGCCTTACATATGAACCTATTTGTACCTATGTAAATTCGAGAACTCGCTCTTGTTATCCCACCTTCTTACTCTCGTACTTTCATGCTCTAGATAAGATCATTAATATTTGACCCCAGGCCGCTATACACCTGCTAATCTAGCCGAGATTCCATAAATCTGATGTTCAATCTTTTAACCTCGGCCGGCCCAACCGAATCAGGATCGGCTTCAACCGTCACCAACAGTGATCTTTTCTGAACATAGCGATATGGAAACAGTATATGATTATACATCTAGATAAATAGATATCGTGTAATAAATGTCTTATATGACTTGGAGTTCGCCTTCCTAGGCTTCTCTACAGTCGCGACTAAGGCATAGCCATCTTAGTCTATGTATGAACTCCAAGAATGTGCCTGATCATACAATAGCCGGCGGTAATAATGAGGCGACTAGTTTTTCTCTATTGTGGCGTATCTATTATCTTGAAATATGCGCAAATCTGACTTCTACCTGTCGTTCCCTGTGGTTCCTGGTGCATTCTCCACCCACACTGCTATTGATCGCAATACACATACTCGAAAAAGACGTGTGACAAGCCATGGCTTCTTCGAAGCGGCTCTTAGAGATGTAGAGACGAATGTTTCTTAATGGAGCACATACTTCGGCTTTGATATGATGGAAGATCTAAGGTTTGGTAACTCATTCGATATGTCTGGGAGCAATGTTCCAGAGAAAAGAGAAGCGACACATCTACTTGCACAGGCAGCTAAGCGACATAAGACGGTCATAGCCCTCATTTCTATCTGATATTCATGAATATTGTCCTGAGCAGCCTGAGAAGATTCTTAGACCGGTCCAATGTCTTGACTCTATTGATCCGGCTTTGACAGACTCCTCTTCCGCCAGCTGAAAAAATTGGCCCGGAAGACGCACTCCTCGCTATCCTGTTCACAGCTTGCGCATGGCGATCCCTTGCTGCTAACATTACGGCGAACCTTGCGGAAATGACATTTTTCGCATGCGATGAGGGCGCGATTCTTTCGTGCCGGGTGTTGAGTGGCCATCAGGATCTAAGTAACCGAGTACTTCGGTTTCCTCACATACAATGATGACCTATCAATTTCTAACGACCTAGCGTATTTCCTCTCAGAGCAGTATCCGAACAGGAGGATGGATCTACGAGACCATTACCGACCCCGGGCCCCAGCCGAATGAGATGTGGAGAACAAGGTTCCTCTACTGGAATGCGTAGTAAGACCGGAAGATCATTTCCCCTGTGAATTGCACTCGCTCACTCCGTCCATTACCCACAGTAACTCACCTAACCATATACCGTGATGAAGAGATGCAAGATCCCGTGATATCACCAATATCACATTGCATTGCATTACATGGCAATACAACTTGCAGCCTCAAGAGGTCTGAATATGCAAGCTACCCTATAGAGTAGGATACTTGATCTCCGTGGACCATAATCCAATTCTCCTGGATAACACCTATATTTCACAATCAGAGTGCATGTATAATTACTTCTATATCTCATGATTCTAAATCCCGAGATATTACAAATCCTTATATATCTTTCTGGCGCACACTCCCTCATATTATTCAAGCTGCTGGGTGTTGGTCATCCCAGTCATAGTCATGGAGCCGACTTTCTGTGGCTTAAATCTAAAACGATTTTCGCAGCTGAGCCGGGGGCCATTGGGGGTTTACCAAATGCACGTGGTGAAACTCACTTGTATGATCTCTCGGGCTATGGACCCCACGTAGATGCATCATGCACAGTGAATCATGCGGCTGATGTTGTACGAACTTACCAAGCGACGGACCGTCCCTCCCGGACATGACTATCGTTGATTGGGGTATGCTTGGAGGAAACCTGCAGTGGCTCTGCGGAAAGAAACTGGGAGATATAGTGAAAAATAGTCTTACTCGATGTGTTCAAACAAAAGCATGGCAAGTGGATGTATTGTAGAGCAATAGTATTACATTTTAATAACAGCCCTAACACAGCCTCTATGAGAATAGTACATGAAATGCGGCTTACGGAGTATGAGTCCTGCATACATGCATATACGAAGTACATAATGAGCTATCAAGCATGACAACGTATGGTTCAGGCGCTGAGGCCACACAAACTCTAGCACCTCGGCAGCCAATTACTTTAACGGACGCATATGGTGCGGCTCAAAGCCCTGCAATGAGGCAAGGATGCCTTGACATTTGGCAACATTTTCGGTCCTTTCCCACGTCAGCGGATTGAGGGACTTGTCTTATGTGCCGATCAATGCGACAGGTCATACTGCTCTGCAACAAGGTCCACTGCGTGGTGAATGTTCAAACCTTCGCGGATTGACAAGACGAGTTGCTGACTATAAAGACCCTTTTCCTGTCCCCTCAATATCTTCACTTTCTATTCACTCACCATCATTTTCCAACCTATCTCAATCACTTCAGCAACTCTGAACGCATCCCTCTTCTATCGACAAAATGGTTAATCTCAGCGTCATTTGCATTGCCACTGTGGCCGCCTTTGCCTCTCTTGGTGCGGCTAAGAATTGCCAAACACGTTTCAATTACTGTTCCTCCGCTCTTCTCAAAAGGGGTCAGTGAAGAAAATGATCCGATTTGACTTGTGATAGGCCAATTACTGACTTGATACCAAGGCAACTACGACACCCAGATCCGGAATGCGGTTGCTGATGCACAGGGCGCATTCCCTGGTGTGAACAGAGACAACGCCTTGTTTGCCTGTCTTGGAGGCTCCAACGGCGAGATCAAGGTTATTCAGAAATGCGGTTATCTGTGCAAGGACGGAGGCGCCGGCCACACCGACAGCTGTTAAAGGCCATATTTCAAACAGCTTGATTGAAGCTCCCCTGGGTTCTGGTTCTTCCATCGAAAAAAGCACGGATTCTTTTCGGCTGTTTTGATAGACGGTGTTAGTACACAGTACACAACCACGTCGCTCTGTACTAGCTGGTCAGCCTTGGTTTGTCAGAGGCTTCGATAAAATCAAATAGATGAAGTCTAGATGTATATGATGTGACTACTTCTATAGCTCCAATACACGGGAACTGCGCTCAGATTTCTATCATCCAACTCATCCTATATGACTGTATATAAGGGCATCTATTGAGTTAAATATATCTTTTATGTCGTCGACGGCTGTGTGCAAACCAATGTCAAGATACGTTGCAATTCGTCCACTTGCTCTAGAAGCTGTGCGTTGGACCCTTGGTTTGTTCTCCCCTCTTCCCGCAGATTCTCAGCACCCTGGGCCCGTCGATCAAGTGCCTGGCATACCAAATATAAAGATTGCAGTTGGCACAACAATAGCTGAGCTTTCATCTTTACTTTTGTGGCGTGCGGGATATTCAAATTCCCAACGCTCAACGGGATGGTCAATGGAACATCATACAATGAATCTGCCGTCCCATCTACCAGTGACGAGAGCCCAGGCTGTGTATCCGTCCGGCTACTGTTCGAATGATGGGATTCGACTGGCGGACACGAGATGTGCCTGCCGATCTCGGATTGATATAGGGCCTGATACCAAGTGAGGATTTTGGAGAGGACCGCGCCTAGAACCAGAAGTGTGGACGTATCCTGGGCGCAGACACTTCCCGTGCAACTCAGCAATCGGGACGCATCTTCCGTGGCTGATTGAGTCATGCAAAAAATAGTATCACTTGGAGGGGCTTTTTCTTCTAGAGTGAGTGGTTTGCACTGGTCGCGAGAATTGGATACACTCCTGTCGTTGCTCGGGTGCCCGTTCCTACAGTCGCAGTGTCTGAACCGGGATAGAGAAGAAAGAAGCCGGCATGCCACTGCAATGCATGGTTCATGCCGGTCTTCATTCACGTCCTCGAGCTCCTCCCGCTCTTCATCACTCTCGTCGTCATCGTCCCCCCCGTCATCATAACTTGAATTGCTCTTGTCCCCGGGGACAGTCTTCCTCGAAAGGGAGCCGAAATCGCCGCTATCGGCTGCCATGGAATTTGCGCCCGAAGGATTATGTTTTGACATATAGCCCGAGTTTGCTGACATCGGTGGGACAGAGTTTTCCAATAGCGATTGATGAGGGTCCAGGCTGTTTACTGTCCTTCTTTCCCATCCTCTTGGCATAACATTATTGAGTGTTTGATCTTGGTCGCTAGCCATTGGGAACATGGGCGACCGAGACCAGGGGCAGTCGTAGTTGTAGTTGGACTGGTGATTACTGGGGTATTGACCGGAAGCCCATGATGGCGAAGGAGCTGGGACCACCGGACTGGTTTGCGGGAAAATGGGGGCTGGAGGAGACACTTGAGAGTCTCTAAAAGAGGATTGCACGAAGGTGAATTTTTTGGAAGGTGGTTTACCCTTTCGTCGCGATCGGCCATACACACATTTCAGGCCATTTTGCACACAGCGTGAACATCCACGCTGCTCCTTTGTACAGCGTACTTTGGATGCTGCACAGGGGTCGCACGAGGCTCGAAACTCAAGCCGTGGCTGGGGTTTACTGCTGGATATTTGATCCTGTTTCTGAGTCTGAATTTGCTCCATGTATCTGCAAATGGTCTTTCATGCGAGGCATTGGCAGAATGGGATGTTGAATGACACACTACCAGAGTGTTTCCTCCTATATCCCTACCAGGTATAGTGGGAGTGAAAGGGTGTTTTCAAATGTCGAGGTTGAGATCAGCTAAAGACTTTTGATTCTTTGCTCTTTGCCGGGGTTTTGGTAGAAGTACCAGGGCGCCTAGTCATTTAATCATCCAGTCAAAACGTCTCACTTTCCGTCTTTCGCGTTTTCAAGGTGAAAAACAAGTCTCGGTTAAGTCGGCCTTATATTCTCAGGCCACTTGGTTTTTCCGGGTCTAATCCGAATGAAGGGAGACTAGTCAGCTTCATTTGGTCGGACCCCTGCATACTATAGCCTGTAGCAGAAATGGTCGACTAGTGCCTAACATCTCGTGACTACTCAGACATAACGTTAGTGAATCGCAAAGCCCGCAAATGGGCCCAGCGTGGGCCATGGACTCAAACTTAGCCCATTCTAATCCACAGCCCATTTGAGGGGTTCAGTCAGGATCTTATAATCGCTGTATTCTGACCCTTCTACCAATTATATAGTCTTGAAATCTAGAATTGAGACTCCTGACTACTAATGTAAATGTACACTCTAATCTTAGATAGAATCCAACTAGTGGAGGTCGAAAGAATATCATTCTATACTTATATATCGGATATAGATCTCCAATAAATATGAGAGTAGAGACCCAGATTTCAATTCATCAATTCAACCTCTTTGGTGTACAAATTATCCAAAAAGCGCATTCTCTCGCATTTTCAAAGGCGGTTTAGATACCTCAGTATCAATCTACGACACATTGATCAAAATGATAAATTTTCAACTATAGATAAAAGCGGGAATGGGCTTTACACGTATAGTACCCAAGATAGTCACGTCTGTTTAGAATGTTTGCTTTGATAGGTGCTTTTAGGCCGCAATCGGTCCCTATCGGCGTGGTCCATCGCTTACCAGCCCGGAGATAGGGCCCAAAGCCCAGCCCATTCGCAGGTTGGATTAGGTTGGGCTGTGGGCCCCGTGGGCTTCGCAGAGCGCTAGGATGATGATCGGTTCGGGCTGGTAGCACATGTCAAAGTAAAGCATTTGCTGTGGATAGGCAAATTGACGCCTTCAAGGAAACCTTGCGAAAATATTGTTTTGCAAATAGATCGGGTCATATTCAGAAGAAAACGAAAACGGGTCAACAAAGTCATATTGATAAAGAAGATATACGGCCCTCATATACACACCACTGAGGAAGTATATGCCTGTGGGAAGCTCTTTATGTTCTCTGCCAGCTCTCCTTTCCGTCGACAGAATTGGACGTACGAACCATCATTCCGCAATAGGCCTTCTTCCTTCAACCGCACATACTCAGCTCGTGGTAAAGTCGTGAAGCCCCATCGCTTGCTGACAATGACCTTTTGCCGACCGGGGAACTTGTATATCGAGCGACGTAGCGCCTCCACTGCAGTCTCTCGATGACGATCGACAGTTCGCACGGAAAGTAGAATCTGGCCCACATTTACTCGCGCTACCTTGCCAGCTGGCTTACCGAATGCGCCTCGCATCCCGGTTTGTAAACGATCCGCACCAGCGACACTCAGCATCTTGTTGATTCGAATTACATGGTGAGGGTGAACTCGGACGCGCATATGGAATGTCTCTTTACCCGCCACTTTGACGAGGTATCTTCGGACAAGAACGGAGTTTAGTCTCTTCATAAAGACAAATTGAAAAAAACCAAGCTGACTCGCTTGTTGGCACAGATACGTGCAGCCTCTAGAGCCTCCGAGCTCAGTTGTTCGTATTCATTGGATACTAAGTGCACAGCGCATGGGAAGTCGTCCACAGACGCCTTCTTCCGTCCCAGATCAAAGATACGGATCTTACCATCTGGGACACCACGGTTGAAGCGTGACTTGGGGTAAGGCTAAAAATAAACCATTTGAATGCGATTCCTCATTGCGCGAATGCGTCAGTCAGAGTGAGCTCTTACCTTGTTCTTGCAATACCGGTAGCATCGAGCAGGTCTACGGGCCATTTTTGTGGGGTGAGAAAACCGTGAGACAAGAAGGATCCAGTGATAGAGTGATGGAATTGAACACATTAATGTGTTAAATAAGTCTACGCGTGGAATAGGAGTTCTCCCGACTCGGACATTAAGGACGAGTAGGACGGTATGTATATAGTCCTTCGGAGTCCGAAGGCGGCTTAAATATCTCCCCACAAGATCTACCAAGATCGTCCCGTCCCTTGTCCCTGGTGGTTGGGTCTTCTTCGGGTTCCTTGACCGGCGGATCTCGTATAGTTGCACCGTTAATGCCCGAAAAAAAAAGATTAGACTCGGCAATCACTGGCTCGGAGATTAAGCACATTATCTTGGCCGAAGGATTATGACAGTTGGTAATATTCTCTCTGCAGGAAAAGCAAATGCTCTGTTGGTTTTTTATATCTTATTCAAAGCTCGCGCTCGCAAAGAAAGCCCCCAAGCTTTCGTCTTCACAAATCTCTTCCAATTCTTCGGGTTTATCGCAACCAGCTCCAATGGAGAGCCACAGTGACATATCCTCGAGCATTGACTGGAGATAGACGCGCTCCTATAAGCCGCCATAAACATCACCAAATTCAACTGGCAAATGAACGGAGAAACCGGCTGCACTCCTGTCACTTTTCCACTTCTACCCCAACTATACTTCGATCGATTGGTCTGCCTCTCTTCCCTCTGCCCTCTTAGCTGATCAACTCAAAGACTGTGGTTTGTGAAACAGACCGCGAGAGAAGTGGATAGAAAGACGGTTAGGATCGGAAGCCAAGACCTGGGCCGCGTTCCACTCGGGATAAGAGTACGCGCCGGTAAGGAGGGACACTGAGCCCATAAAGTTGACTGCCGATTGACATGAACCGTGCAAGGTCAATCGCCTTGGTGAAATATAACAATGAACTACATGTAACGAACTAATGTACATCAAGTCCAAACATGGGTATAACGACATGGGTATAATGAAATCAAATCACTCCAGTTCTTGCACATTGGTGTTATTGCGCTTTGGTTCATCAGCACCAAGTTCCACTCGCGTACACTCTTCAGCCGACAATTCATGCTTCTGGCCATCGGTTCCAAGCTCTGGCAACGCTGGTCTATTATCATCGTTCCCTCTTGCAAGCCCTCGGTGCTTGCGCTTGCGCCGATAGAGGATGAAAACCACCAACGCAAGCAAAAGAATGCCCAGTGCGACCCCAATCCCAATACCAGCCGAGGCGCTTGCAGAAAGTCCGCCTGCTTTGGTTGAATCTGTCCCCACATATGGTGTGGCTGATTCATTGGATGTGATTTCTGAGGTAGCCAAGGTAGGAGAATCGGTTGTGGTGGAAGAATCGATGGCGATATGACTAGAAGTGGTCGTGGGTTCGGTGCTGGTGACGATGACTACCGTCGTGCCCTGTGAATAGCTTGTAGGGGTGGCCAGTTCCGAGGACCAGGCAGTGAATGGGTCTGTATCTTCTGTATCTTCCTCAAAGAGGTCCGAATAGTCCACGTATCGTGACATATTGATCAAAAGTAGGCGGGGAATGATTTTTGGGGAAAGAAGCGGAACGCCTAAGAGCGTCAAGGGGAAAGAATTGAGGCTGAGATACCAAGAAAACAGGGTGAAAACAGAAAAAGTAATCTCTAGACATTTTAGCGTGGGCGCACTAGCCAGTGAGACTCATCTACTTAGATGCAGCTGCATGATAGAGTGCCCACTTCGCGTCTATAAAGAGCTCACAACACCCGCTCAAGGTTTCCTGTCGATACAACTTCCAAGAGAGGCGTTTGAAATCATATGCATAGATCAATGAGGGTGCGGCCGTCAATATAAACAGCCATTCCCGGTTGTTTCCACTTCGCAAAAAGCCTAGGCTGTGAAGTGGAGAGGCTAGGAATTAGGGGGCGGCTCACGGCAACTGGGTCTGGAACATTCAAGGGCCAAGACCCTGAAAATGGTCTTAAGGCTATGAAGGAAGCACAGGCGGATTGAAATCTCAAAATCTGTTCAAGACCAGCGCCCTATCAAGATAAAGGTCATGATTCTTGACAGGTTTAATGTAGAACTAAATCTTCGGGAGTTTTATCAGTCCGGCGGTATACAGTAGACCCTCTTGATTACGAATACCTGGTCATTACGACCGGATACCAGTGCTGCAATGAATCCCCTGTACAAATAACGAATCGACCTTTTCTACTCCGTACGAACTTCGTGGATGCAATCTTATTCCTATAGTCAATTCGCTATGTCCAAGGCCACCAAGATCCCTTGTAGTAATTCAGGGATTTTGATGCTCTGCTCATTCAAAATCAGGCAATGATAAAATGCAGTCTATCTATGACTGGCCGCTTTGCTATCAAACGATAGACCATTATCAAATGCCTATTATATAGCTCTGAGGCGACGCTGTAAGTTGATCCAAATTCCCTGGTACAGAATTGTCTCTCCACACCCCTGTAGGTGAACAATATATTGTTCAACCACTGCAATTCTCGTCTTTTTCAAGTTCACGCACAATGATTCTATTTTCACTCGCACGCAAACACCTCCACCTACAGCAGGACCAATTCAGGAACCCTGCCACACGTTTGGGATACAGTGTGCACCGGATGGCAAGGGTGAGCCGTTGTAAGGAGGATTCCTGAGCGACAGTGAAGAATATTGCCTGTGCTAGGAGACTGGAATGAAGCGCGCTATTCTGAAGCGCTACCCGTGAAAGCTCAGGTTCTGAGTTTGGATAGTCCAATGCGTTTAAAAGGGACTCTTGCTCTTCCACATCATTGTCGCAAATTAATCGCAATGATAGATTCGTGAGGTGGGAAATACTCCCAATGGCTCTGAAAAGAGAGCCTTCTTGCTTGAGTGTCCTTCGGTGCACAGAGAGTTGCAAACTTCGGATATTTGTGCAGTTCAATCGAATTTCTGTAATCCAACTGGTGAAGGAAGGGATCACCTCGTAAAGATCAGACTCCCGAGGGAGGAGTGAAAGCATAGTGAGAGATTTTCCGTGATGCCTAATGGCGGCTTGAAATGTACGTTCTTTTCGGCCGCTGGACAGTCGGATTGCTTCCAATGGACGAAGGGATGAAACAAGAACGCTCGCTGCTTCATCGTAAGCTTTCCAGCCCGGGAAGCTTAGCGTTAATGACTTCAACAACGGCATATGGCAGCTCGCTGCCGCAGTCAGAACATTCTCAGAGACATCCCAAAGCTGCAGAACCCGCAGAGTAGAGAACGCATTCTGTTCTTGCCAGGCTGTGAAATAGTCAATGCTGACTGAGCTTAGACTGAGGCTCTGAAGGTTTCCCCGATGCAGTCTGTTCTCGACCTTGCCATTCTGAAAGAAACCTCGCCATTCTAAGTCTCCTGCTTCTGCTGGATTGGATCTAATTCCGGTTGATTCTTTCACAATATGCACCCGGGACAGGTTTGGAGCTAATCCTTTTGCTAGCTCTATCGCTGCTTTGGCATTGAAATTCGTAACGTAATCGATCTGTGAGACCGGCACCAGAATGCTAGAGAGAGAAGGCGACGTAGCCAATTGATATTCGTACTGATCAATGTCAATAGGCCTATTGTTATTGTAGCACAAACTGAGTAATTTGAATGCCATGACATGGAGTCTGCAATGTGGTATGGACTGCTGCAAGGTCTCAAGCAGACAGGGTGGAAATAACGCGACACAGCTCCAGGTCATATCCCGGAGACACGACAACCGACACACAAGGGATTGAAGGGAGCTCCACATATCATACTGAGGGTTGGGAAAAGAGGTAAAGAACTCGTCAATGTCGCGACGGTAGTAGCTACCCAGACAACTCAAATCACCCTCATTTTCCTCTTGGTTGATGGTCAAAGATCCCGGTACATGATTCATCTGCTCATCGATGGGAAGTAAAGCCCCTCGAACTGTCACTGACCGCACAGATAAAAAAGCAGACGAATTTTCAAGTATCTCGTTCCATCGCTGGATATCTCTTTCTAGTCTGTCACGGCCCACAAGAGTAAAATGAATCTGTGCAAAACGATGCCTGTTGGCAATAGCTAAGCATTGCTTATCCGTTAGTGCAAAGTTGTAGACACTGGGCAAGTCATCAGACGCAAGGCAGTCGCATATTTGATCGATTGTCTCTGGTGGAAGAGCGAGTAGAGATCGCATTATGGCATTGCAAGTGGCAAGGGAGTAGTGTTCAGTAAGTTGATGGCATACATAGACGAAAGGAAGGTATAACAATGATGCAAGGGAAAGAAAGTTGGGAGGAATGTGAGGGAACAGCGATGGGAAATCCGAAAGCGTCGACCCGGCTGGCGGAACCAGAGCTCCCAGAGCTCCCAAAGCGGCAGTCCACTTGACACAAGCAAAACCCCATACTAAACAATCCCACATGACTATCAATGTTGTAGAATGGTAATTTTAATATCGGCTGTATTCACCACAGACCGCCACAAGTGCGAGTGCAAGCTTGCCTTTTAGCACCTAGCCTTTTGGGTTAAATTATGCTCGAGAACCTTTCTTTTGTACGTATCGCAGCTTTTTTTGCAAATACTGACTTTGGTACCTCGTGCGAGATATCGACTGATTGGACTCAGTGGAATTCACATGTACGGTTATAGGTAAGGGGCATATGTTGATATGTTCTACCAATTGAACAAGCAACCGTTGATGTCCGAGGCAGTACAGATACAAGTTAGTCAAGATATGGGACCAAGGAGGAGGGGATTATACCATCAGGGCATACCTCGCGCCTGCTCACCATACACAGTTTCTTCCTACTTTGATTGATGGCTAACTTAGCAATGGGTTGATGACGCAAACATGATGCACATATGTCTTGTCTATATGGATATATTCGATATACTGAGATAGACATCTCTAAAATTTCCATTACTCCCTTATGCAACCATACCAGATTGAAGGTAAATCTCCATTTGAAAGTCGCGCCAGCCTTTCGTCGCTGAATCGGAAACATTCGGGGAGTCCTGTTTCATCCCAGGTCTTGCCAAGTACAAGCTGCGCAACAGCCGGAGCGCAGGTAAAGATCCGGGCCATACCTGTTTCCAGTCAGTATATCTTGCCTGAGAATCCACTCGAATAAAACAAAAACCCACCATGGCCATTAAATCCAGCACAAACATACTGCCCAGGCAGGGAATCAATCGCCCCGATGAACGGAACAGAGTCTGTAGTCATGGCAATTATTCCAGTCCAAGCATGATCCAGACCCTCACCGTGCATGGCAGGTTTGGATGAATACGCTGGGAACATTTTACCAAAAGTCCGTAGAGCATCTTGGGCAATCTCTTCATTGTACCGAGAATCATCCGTACTGAAGCGACCAGCACTGGTCTCAGGACTCATCGTGGGGTTTGATCGCGAGACCCCCAACACCAATGTACCATCACCCTTCCGTTGGATCAAGGAGTAGAAGTGGAGGAGACTAAAGCGAAGCGAGAAAGTGTTTTGCAGAGCCTTTTGCCCTGAGAAGGCAGGGACCGGTACGAGAGAATGAGCCTGTGCACGGTTTGGCCGAATAAAAGCCTCCAATTGTGGAAGTAGCAAGGCAGCATGCGCATTCGTGCAGTGAATAATTTTCTCTGCTTCGACGATTCCCCGGGGCGTGTGCACCTTCCAGTTTTCTGAGGCATCGCTCCGTTCAATTTGAGTGGCAGGACAAAACGTGTAGAGTTTTGCACCCTTGGATATCACTGCCTGGAGAAGGAATTGTGCAAGCTTTGCCGGATGGCTCGATCCTGCTGGCCACTCGTATGCTGCTACAGCCCCTGGAACTCTAGTCTTTTGCTTGGCCTGGTCTCCTTCATAGAATGTGATGTGTGAAGTATCGCCGCCTGCTTTCTTAAACGCGTCCAGGCTGTCTGCCTCGTACGCCGCGAATTCAGGGGTCATGCAAACATCAAATGTTGTTGTCAAGTTAAAGTCGCATTCCACATTGTGTTCTTTGACAAATGCATCGACTCTTTCTAGGACCAGTCGCTCATCCTGGATAATCTTTAATGCTTGTTGCTCTCCGTGTACTTTAGCATATGCACTGAAACCCCTAAAGGCGTCTGCGTTTTGTATCAGCAACGCTCGCATACCACCAATGACATTCTAACAGACCTGGTCGCACATGTCCAGCATTTCGTGAGCTTGCGCCACTTGCTGCCTCCCGTGCTTCGAGGATCACGATGTCTTCAGGTTTGGCCCCTCCTTCAATCAGTTTAAAGGCCGTCAACCCGCCCGAGATACCCGATCCCACCACGACATATTTCGAGATTGCTGGAACGGTCGTATCGCTGTTTGTATCCAAAGTCGGACATGCCCGAGTTGTTCGCTGCCAATAACTCAAACAAGGGGTGGCATTTGGTAGGCTTCTGCTTGTCTGAATATTTGAAGCCATTTTACGGGAGTTTGTGGTGTGTCCACGTCTCTCTTAGCCTGAACATATATATAACCTGGAGAGAGAGAGAGACTCGTACCGGTGTGCGGGGAAAAGGGCATTTTCCTATCGCAGATTTTCCCCTCTCCAATCCTTCAAGCCTTTTCTCCCGATCAACTCTCTGGAGCTCGAGGGGTATGGGGATAAACGGTAAAACGTCCTACCGTTCAGATATCCACGGCATCCTTCCGACCCCCCAAGGACAATCATTGGTGCTCATTCTTATCACGTTGCAGGCCTTGATCTGCAATCGGACCTTCTACCCCAGACGCATTATCGGACCTATCTGTGAGGGGTTGTCTTATCCAAGCTCGGACCTGTATGGGCCTGTATATATGGCTGACCTCGCGATGTAGAATGTCGGCTTTTCATTTCCCCCTGGCACATCAGAATTATGGTGACCTTCAAAATGTTTCGTCGGAATGCGTCAACAAACCTCGATATCCGGTCTCCAGAGGAGAGGGCCTTGGTCCGACGCCTTGACATGTTCCTGATGACTTTCGGTTGTCTATCACAGGGTGCGTTGGGCTCCAGATTGCCTCAGCTTTGAGATCGACAAAAACTGACTTCTGTCAGTGATCAAATATCTCGATCAACAGAATATCAACAATGCCTACGTATCTGGCATGAAGGAGGATTTACACTTGTTCGGAAATGAGCTCAATCTGTGAGTTATCCGGAAACATTTCTACACCGTAGAGTGGGTGATAGCTGATACGGTCTAGATTCACAACATACTTCAATGTCGCTTACTGCATAATGCTCATCCCTTCCCAGATTATCCTCACCTACGTACGCCCGAGTTATTGGCTCCCAGGCTTGGAAATTGCATGGGGTGTTCTAACCGGATTGATTGCGATGACAAAAAGCGCAAAACAAGTCTACGTTCTTCGTGTATTCCTCGGTCTATGCGAAAGTAGCGCTTGGCCAGGAATGATGACATTATTCAGTAGGTTTTTCAGGATTCTTTCCCCTCACCCACCGAAGTAAAATTAAACGGCCCTCTAGTGTATTGGTATACCCCCACCGAACTGGCCAAGCGAATGGGATTCTACCACTCTTGTCAAGCAGTCGGCCAAATGCTTTCAGGCGCCATGCAAGCCGCAATCACCGATACTCTCGAGGGACACAAAGGACTCGCGGGATGGCGCTGGCTATTCGTGATCAACGCAATCATCACGGTCATCTGGGGATTCGCGGGATTTTTCATGCTCCCCGATCTACCAAATCGACCTAACCCGCGCGCATTTTGGTTCAAGAAAGTCCATGGCGAACTTTCGCTAGAGCGGCTCGCGCGTAACGGCCGTGCCGAGCCAAAGAAGATGACCTGGGCCGGCGTGAAGCGAACGTTCTCAGGATGGGTTGTTTACTTCATTGCAATTCTATATATTGCGACAGTCCTGGGAACATACGGATATGTTTATTTCGGGCTATTCCTAAAATCGCTGAAAAACCCAGATGGGAGCCCAAGATGGACTGTCACGCAGGTGAACGCTATTCCCATTGGAGGATCTGCGATCAACGTCGTGTTCGTTTGGATTTGGGCTCTATTATCTGATTACTTCGAAACTCGGTGGACACTCATCGTTATTCAGGCGGCTATTGGAATTATTCCATGTATTATCATGAGCATTTGGACCACACACCCGGCGTCTGTGGCTTTATCTGCTGCCTATGCGTCCTACTTTATCTCATACATTTGTCTCGGTACGGCGCCGCTGATCTTTGCCTGGCTCTCTGATCTTATCCCGCAGGATCCAGAGGCACGGTCTCTTGTTGTTGGCGTTGCGGTTGCTGGGTACTATGCCATCTCCTCGTGGTCGCAGGTTCTTGTCTGGCCTGCGAGTCAAGCGCCATTCTATAAATATGGGTGGCAATGCGGACTGGCCTTATTGGTCCTTGTCATTATTATGACGAGTGTTTTGAGATTGATCGATGTGAGGTACCTTCTACCGAAGCGCGAAGAATTCCGCGCTGTGTTAGAAGAGGATATTATTGTGAGTAAAGGGGCTGGTCCGTCGCTGCCTTCTAATCAGATTGAGGGTCAGCAGCGCATCGATGGAAGCTCGAAGGTATCTGCCACGTCAAATCTGCGTGAGGTATAGCCATTAGCCATTAGGGCTCTAACCGCTTAAATTTATGCCGCTTTGCCTTCTGTATTGATGATATCATTCGAGCTTACTTTTCTGGTTTAACTTTGATACCCAGCAAACTTTTCTTATAGTGTTGATTTCCCATTTATCATCAATCCAAGCAAAGTGTAACATAGTGGCTATTGGTAAGGACTAAGAGATAGCCGTAGTATATCCACATTAAGGTACATATGACCGAAAGCCTCATGTCAAGTGCAGAATAAACAAACATATTACCGTCCTCCTTAGCATCTCCCATTTCATGTTAGCAGTGTCCTATCATTGAGTTGCCAAAAAAAAATACATCAGTAATAGAGAGGATTCTCGGGATCAGTAAGATCGAAAATCACACTAGAGTGAGGCTTAGCACCACCGCGATTGGCAAACTCCTTGCTAAAATCAATAGTACGATTAAAGGAAAGACTACCATCCTCGTTGAGGTCGATATAGAGCGCCTTGAAGTCAGCCGGGGTATTGATGATACCAATGTCGCCAGTCTGGACGAAGTAGTCAGTGACGACCACATGCTTCTGGTCAGGTGTGACCTTGATGTAGTGAGGCCCGACGGTAGGTTGGTCCTCATCGGGGTCATCCAAACGTTTGATGTTATTTAGGTCGCTGATGTCTAACGCAGCAATGTGGTTGGCAGTGGTAAGGGTGGCGTAGAAGTATTTGCCATCCTGGCTGATATCAGAGCTGTGGGGATGTTGTTAGCAATGATGGTCTCTGTAGGATGCACGGAAGGTATCTACTTACTAGATAGCAATGGTGTCACGGGCCTTGGGGCCAAGATCGTAAAGTTCCTCAATCACACCCTGGTTGCCGTTGGCGTCCTTTCGCAGGGGGTAAATTACCCAGAGCTGGCCCAGATGCACGGCCGTGGCGATAGCAGCGGATTCCGGGTGTCCAGGAATGAATTTGACATCTTGGATACCACCACCCTAATTTGATTAGAAGATATATACCGATTATTTTTGAGGGATTTGCTCACATTAGGGATAGTAAGAGTGCTGAGAATCTTTCTAGATTCCAAATCCCAGAGACGGAGTGTGTCAGCATGGCGCACTCCAAGGCTGGGCTTCAAGATCGTAATTGGCTCGACAAAGTCCGAAGTCAGAATGAGCTTTTTATCCCAATCGATAGCGAGTCCGTGAGGGGAGAACTGCTTTTCAAGGATGTTAAGCGTGCCTTCCACATCTTCAGGCCATTCATGAATGATGTCAAAATTGGCATCAGTCTCAATGAGACGACCGGGTGCAGTACCAACAGCCGAGCCCATGTATGTGATAAAGAATCCGCCATCTGGCTTTGCCCGGACCTCATCCGCAATGGAGGCAAGGATACCGCGGTTACTCTTCAGGAACTTGGGGCGGTAAGGGTTGGACGTATCAAAGTAGAAGCCAGTATCCTAATGAAGATTAGACCGGTTGCGGGAAGTTTGTTGAAATGAACATACATACTTGAGTCTTCAAAAGAGATAGCAACCCACCACCCCAGATAGTCTTTCCATCCAGAGACGGTCCCAGGTGGTGAGGATCATTACCGCTGCTGGGTACATCGGTGACCCATAAAAGGGTCCCAAAGGTTTCCTATGTTTCAATCAGCAAAGACGCCCAAGATACCCGCTAGTGGGCTTAGTATAGGCCTACATCATCCAAACTGTAAGTAGCAAGGAAGTCTGCCAACGATCGTTAGCATCATCTTCTTTCAACAATCCACCATTCGTAGATCTATACCTTTATGGAACTTGTCTGCCGAGCCAGTCCAGAAATAGCCAATCTTCTTCGGCTTGATATCACTCGGTGTGAAGGGGGGACTCTCCAGTGGGGGAGTAGGAACTTGTAGAATAGGCAAAGGAGGAGCGTTGGTCGTCAAAGGTTCTGTCACTCCAGGAATGAGAGGAATGAGAGGGGGCAAAGAAAGGCACTGCCCGAGGGCAATAAAAGAAGCAATAGAAGCAATAGAGTACCTCATCTTGTTGGCGAGCAAGATTGAGCAAGATTGCGTTGGGTTGATGAGCATATTTGCGGGAAATCTTGACAGCTTATATACCCGAGTCCGTCTTCATCTCGTACCAAATGAAGCATTGTCCTTCTCTTCCCCTGAGATATCTCGACAGCGAAAAGACATAGCACGCAAGAGAGCTAAATTTCGGGTTCGTGTGATATTCCAAATTCCTCGAGAGGCTGATCTGCGAAATGGCGAATCTCATCCCTCAATGTCGATGTGACAAGCCATACAATCCTCGAATCGGGACCTGAGTATAGACCAATTGTTCTCGTATTCAGGCGTTTATTTGATAAACTTGTGTTGTGGAGGTTCTTCTCAATCTTGAGGCAATGCCGTGATTGAAGTTAATCCAAGGCCTCGAGAGAGGGATTATAGATTAGTAAAATCAATAGTTCAAACCCAAACATGCACCTCTAGCAAGCATGATTCCATCCAAGTGCTAAGCTTTGACCTGGATATAGCCAACAGTGATATGCGGACGAACGGGTGGAACTAGGGCTAGGCGAACCCATGATTTCCGAAAAAGGAAAGGCTCAAGAACCGTCTTCTCCGATCGCCATATCCACATTCAAAACAAGCAAGGCACGGGACTTAAATCTGGGGGTCAAAGCAAAGCTCAAGTAATATCTTGGAGGGAACTGAGAACAAAGAGATGGAAGTAGAGGAATGATCTGCGCATGCCAAGAAATGTGGGAGGTATGTACTCATCCAATATACCGATGAGGTGATTCAGGGTTGACCTTCAATTTCCACCTGCAAATCTTCGAATCCCGAGCCAATATACCGGAAACGCCTGTCATGCCCTTGGATCAGCATCTTTAATTTCCTCCTGGGGACCATGGGAACGCTTAGGCCTGCATCGATTTCGACATGATGCCAAGAATGTTGTTATAACCACCTTCCGGTCAATTTCATTGGGATCAACATCGTAAAGCCATCAAATATATTGGGACTAGCCAAATACTTGGATAGATACCCCGTCGGAGTTTGGAGGGGCGGGTTGGTTTTGAAATGGCATATAAAAACTGGGATGGCTGCAGGGCTCTGGGCTTGAGCATCCAAGTCCTTATTTCATTCTGCCGTACATTCTTTTCCTTAACTTGAAATGCGGTCCCAAGGCCTCGCCATTTTTGGACTATTTGTTTCCTCTGCTTTTGCAGTGCCTCGGACTAAAAGACAAGATGGTGGCAATGACCAGCCGATTAGCGGTGCCAAAGGAGCTCCGATTTTAGGTACGTACCAGCTTAGATGACCAACTCGTAGATACGATCCAGTTCGATGAGTACTCACAGCTCTTTCTGAATAGGTGGAACAAATAGAGCTCTCGATCTTCAAAACCCAGACCAATTCCGCACTTCCAGTACCGATAATGGCTTTGTGCCCAATGTCAAGTGGAGTTTCTCTGAGTCTCAAACTCGACTGTTCCCAGGTGGATGGTCACGGGAGCAAGTCATTCAGGATTTGCCCCAAAGCCATGACATTGCAGGTGCCCAGCAACATCTGAAGAAGGGCGCCATTCGCGAACTGCACTGGCACCGCACGGTTAGTGGCTTGTATCTTTTCTCTACCATCCCACTTACCCTAGTATCTAGGCCGAGTGGGGATTTGTCTACAATGGCTCCCTCCTACTTTCCGGTGTTGACGAAAATGGTGGTTTTACCACCGAGGTTCTCGAAACAGGTGATATATGGTATTTCCCCAAGGGTGTAGCGCACAATGTACAGGGTTTAGACGATGAGAACGAGTACCTCCTCGCTTTTGATGATGGTAACTTTGAGAAGATTGGGTATGTTTTATTCATACCGTTATGTTATCACCATACTGACTAAGAAGAACTACTTTCATGGTCAACGACTGGATTGCCCATACCCCCAGGGATGTTCTCGCCAAGAACTTTGGTGTTGACCCCGAGGTCTTTGACTCTGTTCCTTCGAAATTCCCTTACATCCTCAACGGAACTGTCAGCGAAGAGGCGAAAAATGCCCCTTTAGGCACGCTGAGAGGTGATGATTCCTACGTCTACCATACCTACAAGCACCCTTCGGAGCCTGTCCCTGGTCACGGTGGTACATTCCGCAAGATTGATTCCACCAACTTCCCCATTTCAAAGACTCTTGCCGCTGCAATTGTGGAACTAGAGCCCAAGGGTCTTCGTGAGCTCCACTGGCATCCTAATGTAAGTCTACAAAAAAGTTTATGGTAGGAAAACTATATGATATTGACCACAATCTAGGCCGAAGAATGGCTCTACTTCCACCAGGGACACGCTCGTGCCACTGTCTTCATTGGTGACTCCAAGGCTCGCACCTTCGACTTCCAGGCGGGCGATACCGGTGTGTTTCCCGACAATAGTGGTAAGTATACTGATTGGAAGACCGATGAAAGATGCTAACTCATATGAAAGGACACTATATCGAAAATACCTCCGAGACAGAGAAGCTCGTTTGGATCGAGCTGTACAAGAGTGACCGCGTTGCTGATATCTCCCTAGCTCAATGGTTAGCTTTGACTCCTGCTGATACTGTTGCCAATGTCTTGAAGATCGATCTCGAAGTGGTCAAGCAGATCAAGAAGGACAAGCAAATTCTTGTTCAAGGCAATAAATGAGTTGATATTGTCAAGTTGTCGCATCTGCAAACTGACTCGACAGCATATCCATCATACGTTTAGTTCTTAGACTCCATACTTTGAGTCGTGTCTTTTTGTTTCTATATATATTTAAGTCTGCAATGTCATCCGAGGAAATAGTACATTATTTGCCAGATGAATGGTCCACGATCATAAGCTCGCCCCTCCATCAATTCTATATCATGGTTAGAGGGTCCTTGTACTGGCCGACGCAACTCCTCGCCTAGGTACCTCTCAAGGCTCAAGCCAAGGACAGTAGCCAGCCACGGGTCGGCCCAAAATCCATAGAGCCCACTGCTTCAATGAAATCCGATGTCGCTCGGGGTTCTTGAGACCATGAAAAGCATGGACCTAAGAACCGTCGAGGTTCAGTGCCGGCAAGATTAAGGTTAACATGCCTTTTCACAATGAGACAGGCTCTATCTCACTCTATAATGACGTACAGCCAAAGGACACGACACATATAAAGACGGAACAGGCTAGGAACAATAAAAGATGCCAAAATCCCAGAATTGATTTGATATCCAACTCCGATAATGCGCTGATGCTGTACAATCACAAAAAACCCATGGCCAATTCCAACTCGACAAAAGTCCATACACGCCGTGAACAATGCTCAAATCACACGCGCTTCTCGCGTGATGAGAAAAAAAAATCAGGATAAAAGAATAACAAAAAATATAGCCTAGTTTTTGATCGCCTTCCTCCGCAATACACCAAGATGCTCCAGTCTGTCCCAGGCTTTGTTCATATCGGAGGACTCGTCGCCCAGTGACGGCCGAAGGTCTAGTCCGTCGAGGATATGGAGAGAGCCGCTTGTACCAGCGTAGAGCAAGAGCTCTAGCACTCTTCGGCGTAGACGTGTGGCTTGATCGAGGTGCCTTATGTACTTCACGTCCGCTTGCGGGTCGGCGAGCGGAACTGTGTATGGGTCATTGACTTCGATGTCTCTGTCTGTCTTTGACTCATCGCCCATGGTGGCGCGGTGAGAGATCTGGTCATCGTTTCCGAGCTCAGCCAGAGCTTCGGAAAGGTCCCGATGGGCTCCTTGATGTCGGACGACAGCTTGTTCATGAGATTTCAATCTCCTGCGATCGGCATTTCCATTTCCAGTAACCGCCGGAGGGTAAAAGCCAATAGTCAACGGGTTCCCACGGAGATCAAGTTTGCGTAATGAGCACGCAGATCCTTTTCCAGATTTCCCTAGTCGGCTGAGAATTTGACAGACCCTTCTCATTCTCGAGAGACGGTTTCCGACAATCATCAGTCTGGCAAGACAGTTCATTCCAACCAGTGGCTCAACATCATCAACTGAATTGAAATTCAGATTCAGCACCTTGAGATTAGGGAAGCTCAGAGCAAAATCATTCGGGAGACTTTTCAATGTACACGCAGCTAGATCAAGAAGTTGAAGTCGTAGTAGTGGAGCAGAAGGGCAGACACTCTGGTGGGAAAGCTTGTTTGAGGATAAGAAGACTTTGCGAATGTCCTTGACCAGGCCCAGATCGATATCCAGGCTGTGTTCAAGGTCCTTTGCGTTGGACGGTGTCTGCTCTCGGAGAGACAGTACCTCGAGATTCTGACAAACTTCAAGACCAGTAACGGTAGAAAGATGGTTTTGATCAAGGTAGAGAAGGCTCGCAGAAGGAAAAGCCCGCGCATCTAAAGTCTCTAATTTATTTTCGGAGAGTTTCAGAGCGCGAAGGCTGATAAGGGAAGCAGAGGAGTCAAAACGGCTGATTTGGTTGGCGCTGACATCAAGAGTGGCAAGTGACGGAAGCCATTCGACATTCCGAACAGATGTCAGACAGTTGTGGCTCAAGTCAAGATCACGAAGACGTGTTAACTCGGACCCTGCAAAATCCACCGCAGTGATAGAGTTGTTGCTGAGCTTCAGGCTTAGCAGGCCATTCAGGTCAAGAATTCCGTCTATGTTACGGATTTGATTGTCATTGGCCTTCAATTCCCTGAGATGAATCAAGCTTGCGAAGCCATCCAACGTCTCTATATCATTTCCTGAGACGTCCAAATACTGCAAGTTAATCATATGACTCCAGGGAGTAAGGTTAGAGAGGCAGTTTCTAGAAATTTTGAGGGTTCTCAGGGTTGTGGGAACGCCACTCAATTGACCAATGTCATTTTCAGAAACATCCAACTCCTCCAGTCGGGGGCAGAACTCATGTAATTTGTGCAGCGTGATCAGTCCTTTCTGGCGTAAGACAAGGCGACGCACATGTTCCCAGTAAGGCTCATATGGTTCCACGTCAGTGATATGCTTGATCAAATCTTCAGTTGCCAATGCGAAGGTCCCGTGAACTTGTCGCAAAGAGGAGGGGTTTGTACGTTGAGCCACATAGCTCATTTCAAGGTTCAGGGGTTTATCGCCTTGGTTGACGGTGAAGTCCGCAAGTGGACTGAGGTGGAAGCTGTAAGTCGTATCGCGACCGGCACTCTGAAGAGGTATCAAAGAATTCTCTCTCTCGATTCTACCAGGCGTTTCTTTAACCTGGAGTGAGTCGTTCCTGCGGACGAGACTTTGTTCATCCACCGTCTCCTCGTTCCTCTCCTCAATCCTCGAGATGGGACGTCGAATGAATGGCTGTCCACCGACTGAAGTTTGACGCCCCGTTGGAGGAACGGAGGACCGTGTTGGGCCATTTTCGTGGTCTACTGGGGCCTTATCTCCGTCGGGAGGAGTCCCATGGTAGGTATGGTTCCCATTCGGGTCGGACTGAGCGTTATCAGACTCACCGCGAGAAGAGGAGTGTGAAACATTGGGGGAGGAGAGCCTGACAGTCGCGACACGAGCTTGTTTTTCTAAAGATCCGGGGGTCTTTGAAGTCAACGGCTCCTCACGTTTGGCTTCAAGTATTCTTTGTTCGGAGATTTGCCTTTCTGCGGCCTCGTCCGTGCCCCAGGATGTAGCTCTGGTGCCAGTGTTAGGAACACTAGACGTGAAGCGAGTGAGTCTCGATTGGACTGAGCTTGCACCGAGGGATGGTTCTCCGTCCCTCGTATGTGGTCGAACATTGGGTTTTTTCCGGGATCTGTTCGCAACCGAAGGACTGCGGGGCTTAACTTGCTCTCGATCTGCCGGGGCGTCGCTCTTTGTGGGCGAACTGAGGCCATGCACTCGCATCATCTCCTGGAGCTCATCTACGCTAAGATCCGGGATATCCCTGAACGGATCCTCAGTCTCCTCGGGGGGTTCGGAGATTGGCGCCTGTGGTTCTTCCGCCTCATCTTTCACCCATTGATTCTTAGAGCGATCGTATTTGAAGCCGTTGACCTCTTCCGGGATGAGATGGGCGACAAGGTCAGAAGCCAACATACCCTTGACTTGAGAGCTTTGTGAAGAGCCTGTAGGTACGGAGGTAACGCTGAAGCCAGACATTTGTGTGTTGATAGTCATCAGATCCTGGGCGATGTTTTCTGCCGTGTCATCGGTCATGCCACTGGTCTTTCGCTTCCTCGGTCCATGAATTCGAATATTCTGTGAGTTGGATTCACCGAGCTCGGTTTGGCCCTCGTCTTGGCCATGAGGAGCATGCAGGGACATTTCCCGGTCATTCGGGTCATCTTTCTCCTGATATTTTTTCAGGTGACTCAAGATCAGTGGGTTCACCTCTTTCACTTCCCTCAATCTGCGAAGATCTGTACCATCGCGGCTCGGAGGGCGAGAAAAAGCCTCCCGAGTGGATTCATCGTCGCTGAAATCGTCGCCTTCACTTTCCACGTCAGATTCATGTACGCTTGTCAATCCAGCTGCACCTCGTCCTTTGGATCTTATGAGATCCATGATCTTGGTGGCCTCATTCAAATAATCCTGAGTGGTGATAGATCCTTTTCGGGAGGTATCACTGGTACCAGTAATCTTCACTAGTGGAACGTCACCATCAAGGGAAAAGGAATCAGAATAATCGTTATTCTCGAAATTGGATTCGGAGAAATCCCTGTGTGGTGCAATATTATACTGGCTTTCCCCGTCTGTTCGTATTTGACTTGGTGTGGGTGTTCGAGGTCGCTGCCTTGATTGAGAAAGACCCGGCGGAGCGAGATAGTCACTGTTTTCAAGCTGCACGCCATGTTGCATAAGACTTCGTTGCAAGAGTGACATGCTGTCACCATACTTCTGAGGCGAAGCGCCATTGGTATTTTGATAGGGCTCAGCGCTGTTGTTTCTCATAATTGTTCGGCGCCGTTTGGGGGTGGGGTCCATGCCAGGGGCCCGGGGTACTCGCTTAACCTCAGGGGCCATATTTTCCTTATTGTTCGAACGAGTCCCGTGCTGGACATCATCAAAGAAATCCTGGCGCATCCAGGCAGATGGTTTCCTGGTGAACCCGGAGCTCGCTGATCTGCTGTAATGATACAACCCTTGCTGCGAGGGACCACGAAGATATTTTTGCCGGGTTGATGATCGCTTGCGCGAAGACGGGCGCGAGCCAAAACCTCTAGCCTCGTCGTACACCAATTTGTGCTCATAAGGGCTGGTGTCTGAGAAATCAAATTTATCCAACTCGCCACCCCCAAATTGGCTGATTCGATGTACAGCATTACGCGATCCAAGACGTTCGTTTCGCCTAGGCGAGATCTCCTGCAATGGTTCATGTCTTGAATTTAAGAAGCTGCGATTTTCTCCTTTTCTTCGCGCTTCTTCTGAGGGCGAAGGGGGTTCCTCTCCTTCTGACGTGTCGCTGAAATTGTCTTCAAATTGGCTCATGCGCCGGAGAAGTCTGTTATTGGTGAATGTGTCGTGGGCACCGAACAGTTTCAAGGGGCTTCCTGATGACTGCATTTTAGCCTCGTTTTCTGCTCCAGCCGTGGATGGCCGAACATGAGATGAAGAAGGACGCGGTAGCCCAGGGGACGCGGTGTCTTGAGGGGGATTGAACAAGGGAGAACTTCGGATTTTAGAATTGGCGAGGGTTGTGGGGGACAAACGGTGTGAGGGAAAGGGCGAAGGAGAGAATCGGCGAGGGAAGGAGCGGTTTTCTCGTCGACTGTTGAAATCCATTGTCCCCATAGACAGATCTTGGGGTAGAGAATGACTGGTCACGTCCAGCAAGCTGTCATCTCGTGGAGTTCCATCCGCGTGGGGATCACTATTGTTGTAGAAGAGGAAGCTATCGCTCGCAGGGGAGTCCGGGCGACTTTCATTCTTGATAGACAGGCCTTCCAACTTGTTGGTGACTTGTTTCAGCGCGGATTTGATGACTTCTGAAGTCCCATTGCCATCAACAGTGTTGTTCCGGGAGAAGGTTATGGGTGTGATTCCCTCGTTGCGCAGGTCCTCTAACCCACTAGCTGTCCGAAGCTGTGTATTGCCCTGTGAGAACCCTTCCTGGTCCCAATCCACGTCTAGGTTTCCATTATTCTCCCAAGGAGCGCGATTGACGGTTCCTTCCGGTGATCGATCACCATTGTCCCTTTCGTCCTCATTCACGACGTGTTCGAGGTCATTGTCGCGACTGTTTTGCTCTTCGTTATCCTGTAGCGAAGGTGTGTCGGCGAAATCCCACAGAAGATCATCCTGCTTCGTAAATGGGGTAGATTCTGGATGCGCCGTTGCAGCACCAGGTGTAGGCGGCTTGAACACGCTTTCCAATCCCATCGGCGCGAACAGGTCCCGTTGCTCCCCAGCCGCGATTTCCCCGCGCACTAGTCGCCTCCGCCATTCTGGTGTACCCTCCTTTGTGTCCTTGCCCTTCGTTTTGATCTGAACCGTACCATCCAAGTCGGATTGTGTGGATGCTTTAGAGACGTTCGACACTGATCGTAGAGGGGAGCGCGTATCCATTGCGGACTGTCTGCGTGCCGCACCGGGGGTGGGCTTAGGGTTGACCTTGGGACTTCCGTTCGAAGAGATTCTTGGGTTGGTCTTTGGAGTACTGGATTTCGAATCATTCGGGTAAGGCGATCGTGGTTTGCGTGTTTTGGGTGTTCGGGGAGTCTTGGGGGTCGGAGGTTCTCTTCTATGGAAATGGCATGGTCGGGTAACTTTGTCTTTTTTGTTACTTCCCGGCGATTGTTGTTCTAAGGAACGCCGCGCAGGCACAGGAATGCGACTGGGGGTTCCCTGCTGACTGATTTTGGGCGAATCTGCCACAGGCAAAACAGGTATTGGACTGATTGGCGAACCTGGAGATGGCCAGTCGTCTGACAGACTGTCAAGCCATGGTTGGTTGCTCATTTTTATGCCGGTATGCCGGTATGCCGGATCAAAACAAGTTCACGACATGAAAAGGCATAGATTAGAGAGCTAATGAAAGAAGAAGAACGGTGGGAACAGTGCGGAGATGCGGTGTATCTCCACTGTAAGCTCCAGGGCTCCCTTGTTTATTATCTTTTGTTTACCCTTTCCCGTCCAGATCACTATATATCAATAACATACTATTAGTATATTAATAGCATAGTATTACAATAGTACTCGGTACAATATCTCAATATATAGGTTTTAAGATCTATCATATACGTGGATTCTATATTACCTTGTTCTTGACCAAAATATCTCTCCCCAGATTCAAGCTAATCGAGTCCCTTCTACTCCATAGTCCCACCTAGTCCCATTTTGTTGTTCTTGAAGAAAAAAAAAGGAAAAAAAGCAAACTGAAAGACCAATTGAATGAGTCTGCAGGTCTGATTTCAAGTACTATGTGAGTTTCAAGGGGACCAGGTAGGATAGGAAAGAAAATATTTTCAGTCCTTGGTCCCACTTCTATATATCTGCAAGGCTTGATCGCCAACTATTAGACGCCAGCTATTAGACGACCAAACCCTTTTAAAATTTCAATGTTGGTTTGATTTTACATTTAACACGCGCAAGGGCGAGATGGTTCTTTGAATAGAAAGAAATAATTGAAATACTGCGTGAGAACCCAAATATGTATTGTTCATGTCTAACTCCTAGGATATTGTCTCCATCAATAATGAATGTTACAGTATAAAACATAAGATGCAAATCAATAGTCTTAAATAAGCAGTCTCTCGAATGAGTACTTGCCAACTGCCTTGCGGCGCAAATAGCCGATCTCACGGCTAGTGCGGTTTTTGACTTCACCTGTGGACTTTTTGATCTTGGTGCGGGACACGTCATTGGAAGCAGCCTTGAGTGACAATGGGAGCATCTTGCCACCGACATCGCCATCGTAGCCATCCTCGCCCTCACCGGGACGGGTGAAGACCATCAAGTCGGCGCCATTGAGTTTCTCGTAGCGGACCAGGTGGGATGGACCCGAATTCTCGGCATCCATCTTGGCCAGGGCATCATCGGAGGTAGTAGCGCGGGTGTCAACTTGGTCCGCAAAGCGGAGGTACTCGCGCAAAACACCCTTGAGATGGGTTGCCTCTTCAACTCCTGCAAGCGCGGCGGAGACTTCGGACTTCATATCCGTAATCAATTCCATTTCGCGACTAGCAGCGGCAGCGACTGAGTCTGAATCCTCAAAGTCACCCGCCGCTGGGATGGCTGAGATCCAACCGGACGGACCCACGGCATCCACAGAGGCAGTGATGAGATCAATGATAACATTGAGGGAAAGGGCGGGGGTGATTTGGTCAAGAGTAATAGGTGTAGGAGGATTTTCAGTGAACCGAGAAGTGTAACCTCCGGTAGCGAGGGAAAGACGGAGATGGTGAACCATAGAAATGAGCTCGGTCCGCGAGAGATTGGAGCGGAGGGAATGGACAACAGCTGATACGGGCTGTGAGTGAATCTTTTGAAGCGAGGTGTTTAGACCCGCAAAGATATCCTTCAGGGTTGCCGTTTCGGCCCCAAGCTGCTTTGTAAGTTCCTGGGTGGGAGTGGCAAGATCACCATTTGTGATGGCGCGAGCTGTCTCCTCAAGGGTTCCAGCGTGGGAACGTGCCTGGTTCAAAAATGCCTTGAGCGCGTAGGCCAACTCATCTGAGGAAATCAGAGTGGGGCCCTCTAGCACTTGGTTGACTTGCTTCAATGAGGGATCTGAATCGAGGAGGGCCTGAATGAATGACCCGGTGGGGAATGGCTGCAAAATGCGTGGCTTGCATGCACGACGAAGCGCAATCTCAACATTGTCGAGTGACAAATGTCCCAAGCGAATAAGCCAGTCACAAGTAGTCGGGGGCCACATGGCAACACGGAGTTGAGACGATGGGGAAACCGACATGGTATCATTTGTGGCAGACTCCTCCACAGCGAATATTTTGGAAAGCAAGAAAAGAGTTGCTTCGGAGTTGACATACTGCCCACGGACTGGGAGCGTTGTCGAGGCATCGGATGTACTGAAGTACGTAAGAACGGCATTATCGAACAAGTCGATGCTCTTAGTCTTGGTTGCCTGCTCCACCGTTTTGGTAAGCTGAGTCCATTTCTCAACCTGCTCCGGTGATGTGAGGTGAAGGGATGCCATGTTCTCAGATCGGTGCTTCTTCGATGCGATATCCCACTGTGCTCCAGATGAACCAATACCTCTGCCGATGGCATCGATGAGCAGGCTATCTCTAGTCCGCTTCAGAGAAGAGCTGGGGGCACTAGGGAGAGAGCTCAAGTCGAAAGCAATAAGAGTGTTGCCTTTGGTTGCGACGGCAATCCCAAGTTTGGCGAAGTAGCTGATAAAGTTTGTGGGAGTCTCTGGGGTCGACCCAGTGCTCGACAAAATATCACCGGCTGGAATGCTGCGCTGAACAGAATGGTATTGGGTATCATATACAGCCACAAGGGATTTTCGTGCTCCAATCACGGATTGTGGGGAAATGCGCATGACCGAGGAGAATTCCTCATCATCAAGAACAAATTGTGATGTGACAGAGGGAGAGTACTGAGAGAGATCAACGCTGATGAATCCCCTTTCGAAAGAAAGATTCAACCCTGCCGAGCCAGAATGGAAATTCCATTGCATAGCATTGCCATTGGTAGTTTCCAGGCCACTCACATCCGGGATGTGGAAAGTTTGTAGATGGCGCAGGCGCTGACTTTCGTCCAATCGTGACTCTGACTTCGCATGCGCAGGAACTGAGAACATTTGCACAATGACGTCCTTGAGGAAGACTCGGTCGGTGTTCTTTGGTTGGGAAACCAGAAGCAAGATAGATGGCTCGTTGATTCCCGAGGTTGTCAGATCGCCTAGCGCAAGCAAAGCCAAATCCTGTCGTCTTTTGAATAAAGCCTTCTTCGCATCATCGAACTCAACTAAAAAGCTGGATTGGACATTGTGAGTGGAGCAAACCTTGGCAATCTCGCTGTGCTGAATACTCCATCGCTGGGTCTTCAGATCCGACGACAGCCTACGCACACGACCGTCCTCATGGACGGCCAGAATATCAAATGGATCCGCCTCTCCTTCGGTATCCGCAGTAGAGGGAACGATGCCCACAAAAGTTGTGGGGCTGGTCGAGTCGGTCACGGTGGTAGTCGAAGAAGAAATGACCGGAGCACTTGAGCCGTTGCTGCCGATCTCCTCCACAAAACACTTGATCTGATGTTCTGGCTTAGTTACAGCAGTATAAGTCTGCCTTCGGACAGTCGATTTCTTCGACAATTTTCTGCGAACTGAGCATGGACGGCAAGAGAAGGTAGATTGCGGCGGGACGGCGTAGGAAGTCACAAGCTTGGGTGTTTGAACCTAGTGAAGGTTAGAATCGGATACAACTGAGGTAAAAACAAGGCAACAAACATTGTAAATGTTCACTGCCTCGCCATCTACGGCAACTGCGACTTCATAGCGCTTGCGTTTTTTCGCATCGGCAAGACTGAAGACATCGCCGATAAGGGTTTTGCCAGTAGAAGCGTGAAGGGGGCGAGGCAATTGCGCCAGGACAGATGGAGACTGTAAATCCATGACAAACTGGATCTTAAAAATCAGAAAGCGCTTGACTCCCTGTCCCTTCAAAGCGTGTGATCTTTCTGATGCAGACCCATCCAATTTGGAAATCTGAAAAATTTTCGGGATTACATCGGGCCGGGAATCCACCCCTAGGCCACATCTGGCTAGCGTTGGTCCGTGAGGCAATCACCCTGACATAAGCAATTAACGCGCCATTCGCGTCGGACGTGTTTGCAGCTATGGAGATCGGCCCCGACTTGACTCTTGCTTCATGCAATCGCATCTCACTTACCACCAAGAGTCTGTCATTTCAATGATCTGAGACCCTGCTTGTTCCCTGATATCTCCTCAGGGACCAATTGGTTGTTCATCCCATGAGCGTCATATCCAACCTACCGATGGCTATGGGAACCAACGAACAGCAAGTCATACATCCCTTCTTCCGACAAGGTTAGAATGTGTCCCATAGCTGCAGGTCAAGTTGAGCTTACAATGTTTAGACTTTGGTGTTTCGGTCAAATCTCCACCCTCAGGCGAAACAATATCGGCCGTACATACCCACGCACACGAGCCTCGACCGATAAGCAGCCAAAGCTCTACGCACGAGCAGGAGCTACAGGCCCCGGAGAACCAAAATGAAAACCAAGATGCAAATCAGCTCAAAATAAACCATGAAATTCCTGTGGATCTTGACGAAGACCTTAATGAGGATCGGAGGAAGAGGCAGAGAACGGACAAGGCCCAAATCACCGAACCCACGACTGCTTCCAGTGCAGGTCTCTCAGAATGGCTCGGGCATGGCGTAACCGAAAATGCGCCTTCATTGGCTAATCATCCTGTCAAGACCGAAATGAATTTGTTTATACCTCACCCTAAGCCTCCGCTGGCGGATACCCAAGCTCTTGCAGATGAACCCCAACAAGTGACACCTGCTGAGAACGACAAAGGAGATGGCCGAGTTGCAAGAACGTCTGCAAGGCAGAAAATCCTTAAACTGAATTCGAAAGGAGGGTTCCTGTCGTCACCCGCCTCCAGTCCTCCCAGAGACACACAAAAGAAAACAGCCGGGAAGCGTGGAAGGCCAAGGAAGATGGAGAGCAAGGTGGTGATGCTCAAGTATAGAGCTACCACAGAAAAAGACATCGGAAAGTTGATCGATGACATCCTAAATAGCCGAGCGGTTCACAAGCCCCCTGCCATTATTCCACCTGTTCAACCCCGCATGACGAGGAGCCAACCCCGAAAGCCCACGCACCCGTTTTTCAGCAAGAAATCAGCACAGAAGACTGGGCCTGCGAACCTGAATGGATCTCAATCGGACAAACTAGATACCAACGCGAGCGTGCCCTCAACCCAAACCACAACTGGGGCCCAGGACAAGAAGCGGATAGTCCCAGCTTCGGGCAGCTCGTTTACCAGCTTTCCCCGTCGCGCCTCCAAGTTTTCCGAACTATTTGATCCCCTCTGGCCACCGCGAGATCTTGTGCATATCAGATACGTTCACCCGTCCACATGTATCAATGGCCGTGCTTGGCATGTTACCCAGGACCGGAAAAAATCGAAGATTGCAGCTATCTCAATCAGAGACGAAGAAAATGTCCTCCTAGCTGGAACAGCTGAAGCAAGAAGGATCGCCAACCTGCCCAAACAGGAGTATGATGCCCTCGCTATTCTTCGCCATCCCGTGCGGCATGTTGCCAGCAGTCAAGTTTTGCATACGGCAATGGAAAGACAGATGTCGTGGTCCTCACCAAACCGCAAATTTCCTTGGGATTCTTCTAGTCCACCGCTTGCCAGACTGCGGTCAGCTCTACTCACATCAGTTTCTGCTTTTGACCGCGCGACCTATGAATCGCAGCTATGGGCGCACAAGTACGCCCCTCAGTCAGCTGAAGATGTTCTCCAGCTTGGCCGTGAACCACAGATGCTTCGAGACTGGCTACGGCATCTCAAGATCACTGCAGTGGACACTGGAAAATCATCGAAGGAGACTGCTAAAGCGAAATCGAAGCGGGAGAAAAAGACGAAAAAACGCCAGAAAGCCGACAAATTAGATGGGTTCGTGGTGTCAAGCGAAGAGGAAGCCTCCGAGATGGACAATCTCTCAGGCTCAGATGATGAGTTAGCGGGCGGCGTGACCACAACACCTCAACGGACAGTGGTCAGGTCGGGTGACATAACATCTGGACTACATGGAGTAGAGAAAAAGACTCCAATGACCAATGCGATTCTTCTTAGCGGCCCGGCTGGCTCTGGGAAAACCGCTTCAGTCTATGCCGTTGCGAAAGAGCTTGATTTTGAAGTCTTTGAGATAAATGCCGGAAGCCGACGAAGTGCCCGAGATATGCTGGAACGAGTTGGAGATATGACGCAAAATCATCTTGTTCATCTCCTCAACGAATCCGAGAATTCAACAGACAAAGACAAGGATTGTGCTACGCAAAACAAGCTGAAGAGCTTTTTCAAAACCCCATTTTCGAAGGCTAGCAAGCCTGTCTCCGAGTCTGGCGAATCCAGTTCGAAATCCGAAACTACCACTAAACGTCCCCGGGAGCAAAAACAGTCTTTGATCCTGCTTGAAGAAGCCGATATCCTTTTCGAAGAAGATCGACAATTTTGGACTGGCGTCTTGACTCTCATCAGCCAATCTAAACGACCCATCGTCATCACCTGCAATGATGAGAGTTTGATCCCTACCCAGGATATGTCTCTTCACGCTATACTACGATACTGGAAGCCTGCTCCTGACTTCAGCGTTGATTACTTGCTTTTGGTTGCCGCCAATGAGGGGCATATGTTAAAGAGAGAAGCCGTCACTAGACTTTATCAAGGATCCGGAATGGACCTTCGGAGGTCTTTGATGGATCTGACTTTCTGGTGTCAGATGGGTGTTGGTAGCGAGAAAGCGGGCCTGGATTGGCTGCTTCCTAGTTGGCCACCCGAGTCGAACGTGGATCATGATGGTGACCGACTTCGGGTTTTGAGCCTCAACACCTACGAACGATATATGGGCTGGTTTAATCGTGATATGATTTTGACCCAAGACTCGTTGGATGAAGAGGCGGAAATCATCCGCAACAGCTTTCAGTCGTGGGGTCTTGGCCTGCAAGATTCCGAAGACATGGCTGGGAAGACTGAAGTTGAACTGCTCCCCCCGATCAGCTCCAGTCTATCTCTAAGACAACGCAGCTTGACATGTTGTGTCGGGAAGCGGATTACTATGACGCGCGAAGTTCTCTCGACATCCTTTGCTCGAATCTTTCCACAGACGTGAAAACTGTAAGTATGATCGATACGTGTATAGAGATACCAGCTAATGATTGAACAGGATGTTATTGATATATCCGGCCCACCGCCACCAGAAGGCTATAAATCTAACTATCTTGACAATTACCCGCTCCTGCATACAGAGTTGCGAACTGAGTATTCATCACTGAGTGAAACTGTCAGCAGTACGTTTGATGCGTTAATAAGCAAAACTTTCCGTCCCACAGCTGCCGAGGACTTGGAATCTCTATACGCGAGCCGAGTCTTAAGCAAAACCATCGTCTCTGCAATGCCACCCCAAACTCCTCCATCCACTCTCCCTCAATTCCAGCGCATCTTTGGACCCATCATGCGTGCCAACTACTCAAACCCCACACCAACCGCCCGCCACGCCCCCTCATTCGAGAATGGACTCGCACCGATTACGGAAGACTTGGCTCCGTACATTCGCGCTATCATGGTCTTTGATAGTCGCCTCCAGCGATACCGTGAGAGATTGTTTGAGCTCACGGCGCAGGATCATGGCCGCGGCGAGAAGCGTTCACGCACAACACGTGCTAGCCGCGCAGCCCTCGAAGGAGGCGACAAAGCCTCAACGCGCAAGGAGAGGTGGTTTGCCCTAGACACGCCTTATTATAAAGTGCAAGGCACCGCCGGGCCCGAGTGGCAACAGGTTTTGTTCCAAATGGGGTATTTCCATGTCCAACCTATGGTTGAGGCATCTCCCGAGCGCAGTGACCATGTCTTAAGCGACCAGGTTATGGAGATTGCCGAGTGATTGGTCTAGTGTCTCGTGCACGATCCAATGTATTATTTATGAAAAACGATCTCAAGATGAATGTATAGCTCCGTGTTTAATCTACGCCTGTACTATTTACTATTTATTTATACCAGACTTCGCTGAAGAATTGAAGAAGATGCAGTTGGCTACAATATTTCAACCCGTAGGGATTGTGCATAGATTGGAAAACAGAATTCGCTATGGTGTTCGCTATTGTGTGATGGCCTTGGATAACTCGAAAGTCATAAAAAATACATGATAACCTTGGAAGAAGCAAAACCTCGGGATCGCCCGCAAACCGAAGCAACCGTCCCGACCCGCAGGAACCTAATGAAGTCAACGTCTGACCAAATTTCCTTCTATATTAAACAAACTTACAGCAGGAAATATCAACCCCCGTACTACACAACCACCCTAGCAGCCACAGGCTTTTGCACCTGTGGCTCGTGACTAGGGAATTGAGCAAGGTGATAGGGGCCATGATCCTGCTTAAAGTCATAGATCGATTCTCCAGAGCTACGTCGTGACTCGGAAGCATAGGCACGTCCGTTCGATGGTGGTGCCCCCTCAGCCCCGAAGCGCTGTGTGGCGTAGCGAGCATAAAAGCCTGAGTCACGTTGACGCTCTTCCAGGTCTTCCCGGTTATCACGGCGCATGCGCTTATGGTATAGGACAATCAGGACAATGATGGCAACTAGGAGTAGACTGCGATATAGTTAGTTCTGCCATATTTTCGTGTGTTGGGGTGGGATGGCATGGCAGTATAGTTGAGGTTGGAAAAGGGCGGTGATGGAGGCGGTGATGTACATACACTCCTGTTATCGCGGCGGGAATGCCGATGGTTACTGCGGAGCTGGTGGGCTTTGTGCAGCTGGACATGGTCTCATCGCCATTGCAGTCGCGGCGGAAGACGGAAAGGAGTGTGGGAAGCATGATGAGTTTGAATCAATGCAAAGTTTTAAAGGAGTGTATTTGGAGAACCAGAAAAGGAGTGCAGGGGTTCTCGAAGGGATAGGGAGTGGAAATCTGTGAACAGGATGTCTCAGAGAAGAAAAAGAGAGAAGCAAACGATACAAACGAGAAAAGAAGCTATGTTCCGGCCTGCGTATCGCTTCTTATGACCGTTCGATGTGCGGAGTTCTCCGTACAGAATTGAAGATGTTGATTCGTCCTGATGAAAGGATGAAAAGGGGGTGGCTTATGTCGGTTTCTGAAAATATGGGGTTACATTCTTCAATTCTATATCTCTTGATTGACTGCTTTCACGGTAATTAATATAAAATGTACTCAGCAGTACACAATCATATATATAGAAGATCTGTGGAGGCTCCAATGATCTTCCTGATTATTGTGGCCTTCAGGGATTGTCAGTTCCACTATTGTGTGATTGGCTTTGAACATGATCAGATTGCAATTTTCTATGTTTAGAATACCACTGCGTACTCCCTACATTACTTTTGTTTCATTATGCGGGGAATTTATGCTGTACAATCCTCTGGCCATGTTTACACTCGAGAAAGCCGAAATATTACATCTCAGACATCTATGATCTTTATATGTTGTACTGCACACGAGTCCTCATTCATAAACAGGCTTAGCAGCATCCAGCTGAGTCAAGATCTCACTCTTAGGCATCTCATCACTCCACTTCTTGCGTGGATACTCAAAAGTTGATCCAATGCGACCATAGGACATCCCCCCAAGTTGGCCAATCGGTCGCAACTTCTCCAAGTCGATATGACTGTAATCCTCATTGGCAGTGCCTTCCTTGACCCAGAACCGAGTAGCCTTGATGAGAACAGTAGCAGCGAGACTCATTCCAGGTTTTTGATGATCGGTGAACTCCTTGATATCAATAACCTTGCCTTCGATGTTGAACACAGATTCGGCGACGCGGGATGGCTTCACAGTACTCGATGGTGCCTCATGCAGTCCGGATATATCCCACTCTGACACACCATACGGAGCATCAATAGAGCTCGCGTTCACTGCCTCGATCATGTTCTCTGAGACCGTGTTGATTACACACTCCCCAGTCTCTCGGAGGTTGCGGTAGGTGTCCTTAACCCTACCAGGCCGAGACGAGAAACCAACAATGAACATTGGAGGATCGTGATCGATGACTTGAAAGTAACTAAATGGGGAGAGGTTCTTTTCGCCCTTGGAATTGACTGTGCTGAGAAATCCCACCGGTCGAGGCGCAATTCCCGAGACAAGAAGGCGGTAGTTGTTGATCATCGGACGATCTGGGGCGTAAGGATCGATTTCATGATGTTTTTGGGCCAGGCTGGCTCCATTGTCGGGCACTCCTTGGCCGTACTCCCAATTGGGATTTGGAGATTTTGTTACTGTGATAGGCTTATGATGATCAAAGTCTGGGCGTTTGGCTTGGATCTCGTCGAAATTGCCAACGTCTTGGACGACCTTGTAGTTCTTCTGTGCTGCGGCGATTTCAGCCTCCGATGCCACGGCTGTTGCAGAGGAACTCATCCTTAGTTGACTCAATGAGCAAGACCCAATCCGAGATTTTGAGATGGGATTAAAATTCCAAGTCCTGTATTCAAGTTAAATAAATACTGGTCGGGTTGTGAGCAAAGGTTGACTTACTGGCTGGATACAAAACGGCCAATTGTTCTTGTACGAGTCATTTTGGACCAAACTAAGTATTTGGTTTGCTGGCAATATCAAATTAGACCGTGATGCGCGTCATAAATTATTTGATGCCTCTTTTGAGATACCGAAAAAAAATCGGATGTACCTCCGACAGTCGGGATCTCGCCCCGACATCTTCACGATAAGATCTTAGTAGTGTTAGTGGAGTCGACCTCGACTTTGACCTCAACCAGGACCTCCATCACTTTTCCATATCAAATCATGTTCTGCCGAAACGCACGAGTTGCTCTCAGGAGAACTACACTTCTGTCAGACCGTCTGGCTCGAGGCTATCCTCAGATCCAAACTATGATGTCTAGTGTGTCGAAGCACACCAAGGTAACCAGCGTGCAGACAAACGAGGCATATGCTCGTGAGTTTCCGGACTGGAAAGCCCATGAATTCCATAACTAACAATATATTTAGCTTTTGCCCATTATGTATGTACAGCCATGAACAAAATTACAGAGTTACTCTAACAAACTTGCAGTCACAAGCGATTAAAGCCGCCGGTCAAGTCTGGCTCTCCGGACAGATACCCGCAGATGCACAGGGAAACTTAATCAAAGGAACTATTGGCGAGCAGACTCAAGCTATAATCAAGAATACCAAAGCTATTTTGAAGGCATCGGGCACTGGCTTAGACAGGGTTGTTAAAGTAGTCGTGAGTATCAAAGACGCATCTCCCAGTACTCAAACGATTAATCTCCCAATAGGTATATGTTAGAGACGTTAGTGTAATGCCAGAATTTGCATCTGTTTACGATGCTGCATTCCCGCATCGCCCTGCACGGTCTATGGTTGAAGTGTCCAAGTTGCCCGCCGGGGTGGATATTCAGGTGGATTTTATTGCAGTCGTTTAGATCAATTAGAGCTGGGCTATAATATATTGGAAATGCCAGAAACTTGAGCCTTTTACGTCGTTTTTAACTGTTCGTGCTCATATTAGACAAGAAATGTGTCGCAGGTCACACTGTATAATCGGAAGGAGATCTTTTTTTAGATCTCAATCCCAAAGAAACATAATCTGTATATGGCTTCACGATTATGATTACATATTATTGGCAAATTTGAACTCGAGGTTCTACAGCTAGATCGGGATCCCCGTTACTATATGCCGCAAGAAATTTGCATCAAAATATGTAAGGCTAGTAAAGCTGTGACCTTTCTTTTGTCCGAATTGATACTTATTTAAGTCAATTATATCGCTAGGTATATATATATCGTTTTATTTCCTTGCTGGATTTCATCAAACAGCATTTGGAATTGATAACGCAGAGCAAAAAACATTTACTTCAATTATTCGGGGGAATATAGCACTTATTTCTGTTGATAAATAGTCATATTTCAGATTATCGGATCTAGAGATAGATGAGAAGGCATGGTTCGAAAAAATTGCTCGAAGCTTTCGGTTCCTTGCCGTTATATACAAAGGCAGAATCTCACCAAATCTTACTCTATACAGAAAATGGGATAGTTAAAGTGATCATGTTGGTACTTTTAATTACGCTTCACAATTTCTAATACTTCCTGTTCTTCTCTGTTTCTATGAAGCCCATATTGTTCGCTAATTCTTTCTTTCTTTTCTCGCTCTTTGCCCTAATTCGATACATAGAAGAAATTGATATCATTACTTTGTGATCTCTATGACATTACTTCCTGAACTTGATTGAACTAGTGTGCTGGCTACCTAGGCGTAGGATATCAGAGAAGGAAAACCAGTAACTAGTTATCGATTGAGGCCGTACTGGCAGATTTAGGTACGAACCATCGTGTATGATTACCTTTTGGCTGCTAGTATTACAGTATAAGATGATTGGAAATGTTATAGTGAAGGCTGTGATCGATGCCTCGACAGAGCATGGTGTGCAAATGATATTCTCATGCCCTCACCGAGAAAGAGTGAAGTTCTGAGCTATATCACGCGAAATTCAAATATATATAACTTTAACGAGGTTTTATGCAGGTCAATATCTTGAGATGGTATTCCAGGAGATATCAGATATTACCTGCGCATGAACTACGAGCGCAAGAGGCCCTTCAGAAAGACGATTCAGATATCTATTCCTCCAAATCTGTCCCACCTGGAGCCTGAGGATCTCGTTGCCCAGGGGATTATCCCAGCTATGCAGGAACAGAATGAGGGGGATCGAACATCAGTCAGTGCCTTCAACAATCCTATCGAAGCTACGTTTTCTGGCCAGAGGGCTATCCACAAAACTTTAGAACTATCTGGGCTGAGATTGTATGAAACTGGTGGAACAATCCAAGCTATCGTTAATGATTAAGTCGGATTTCCCACAAGCACGGAGTCTGCACCAACATCATTCATTGTATTCGACATCCTGAATAGCAACGGTGCACTACACCGATGCACTACACCGGTGCTTTACACCAAGCGTTCTTTTCTTCCATGTGTTTCAAGTCTTATTTTCAACCCCCGATGTACTCGATGGAAGCATTAAGACAATTCATAAATAAGCATGGAGCAAAATGTGCAATGGATGTCTACTAAAAGCCCACCTGGTGGTAAGCCCTTAAGGATATTTGTCTCGAACATTCTTCCTTCGAACGTATGTCACATACGGTTTTACTTTTAAGCACTGCATTAGATAAAGGCCAAGCATCCTTTGAACTTTGGATAAGGATTTATACCCACAGCCTTGGCTTTGCGAGCTCGAGATTTGAGACACTGTCGCTGTATCATCAGCTCTGATTCATGGACAATCTGGGTGGTATTACATGGGCCACTGAGACATGGGAGCTACATACAACCCCTGTTCAGATGGAATCTGGGGATGACATAGCATGACCTCCTGTGGGGCTGATGGGGCCAAGTGAGAACGAAACGAAACCCACCAGTAATTCTATTGGTCAGAATGATCGCGGCTCCCCAGTGACTCCACTTTCTTCAGGGCTGTCGAGGCTGATCATTTGCTGGTGCACGATCGATGACAGATGCCGAGGGTTTAGCGTTGAAGGATCCATGGATGTATTCAGAATTATATAATCCAAACTGATCAGGGCTCCAGGAGTCTTCGCTTGGTTTTTCATTGCCAAGTCTTATCAAAACACATCAACCCTATTTCCTAGAGCCTCAAACAAAACATGGCAATTACAATAGGAATTGCTGGCATCACGGGCAAATTTGCGCGTCTGGTCGCAAAGCATCTATGTGGCGCACCGGATATCCAAATTCGCGGACTGTGCCGCACCCCTGCGAAGCTTCCCGAGAGTTTCCATAACTCACCTCGCGTGACCATTTTCCAAGGTGAATCTACTGATTTTGACACTCTGCGTAAATTTGTCCACGGCTGTGATGTTGTGATCTGTTGCTACCTCGGAGATAACAATCTCATGACCGAGGGCCAGAAGTTACTTGTTGATGCGTGTGAACTGGAGAAGGTTGGTCGCTACATCGCTAGCGATTATAGCTTGAACTTCCCGAATCTGGAATACGGCCAGCTTCCTGCAAAGGATCCAATGAAGCATGTCATGGCATACTTGGAAGAAGAGAAAGATGTTCAGGGTGTTCATATCCTGATTGGAATTTTCATGGAAACATTTTGGAGTGGCTACTTTGGTATCTGGAAGCCAGAAGAATGCAAGCTCTCATTGTATGGAAACGGCGATGAGCTCTGGGAGTCCACAACTTATGACACTGCTGCTCAGTATGTGGCTGCCGTGGCGAGAGATCCAAACGCAGTTGGGGTACTGCAATGTAAGTCAAGATTGCTTTTGATACGGAGGGAACATGCTAGCTGACTAGAGATTGCATCAAACGTAGTCCTCGGAGACCGGAGAACAACCCGACAGATTGCGGATGACTTCGCCGAAGTATACGGAAAGAAGCTTGAGCTTGACTTGCGAGGATCTCTCGACGACCTATACAGCACCATGCATGCAACATACAAGCAGGATCCCTCAGACATCTTTGCCTACCTCGCGATGTGAGTTCAAACGCTCATCCAAGCTAAATTAGTTGACCGACTGAATGATCTCACTAGGTTTTATCAATACTACTGTCTCAACGGTCAAACTTACCTGAAGAAAGATTTGGACAACTCTAAATACCCTGATATTACTCCGACTACTTTCAAGAAGTTCTTCCAGTCCCACGAATTGGAAGAACTAAGTGATGCAAATCAAAATGTAGGCTCTGATGTCTAGCAAGGGTTTCGGCTGTTTGGTAGCCAATAGAGGCCTAGCCAGATTGGAGAAAAAAGGTAAACCAGGAGTTTCCATCCTCTGTCTCTCGGATATAGAAAAACAATTTTTGGCTTCATAAATCATCATAAAAAGTCGTTTACATAGTGGCAAGCTATCAAACACCAACAGATTGCATGATTCCCTCTACATCTAATTGATCTGCAAGATCCAATAACTCTCGCGGGGGAATACTGACAGACGAATTAAGTCCCAGTAGGTCCCACTCGAACTCCTCGTGATCGAAGGCATACGTTTCTTCGTTCATCTCATTGCCCTCGTCTAGATTGGCTTGCGGCAAATGGTGATTTGCCAATTTCGGCGTTATAGGTGCGAGTATTTGCTCCAATTGCCTGAGCTCAAGCTTGCGAAGCGGTGCGGCTAGGTTGCCCTTTGAAATGAGTTTATCGAGCACTAGTGCCAGATTGTCGCACCAATTATCATTCGAAATTACAGATGGGGCAATTGCACGGATCAGGTAGAGAACAAACGCAGAGGACGATGCGTCTTCGATTTGGAACGGCAAGAATGCGTCTAAAGATCCGAATTAGCATTGTCGATCGTAGAACATAGCTAGTAAGCCATACCCATCAAGTCATCATCAGCTAAAGTACGGAGTGTCTGGAGGATAGTCTGGGCAGAATCGGCGCAGCATTGTAACAGGGATGCAACCGGCGGCGCTAAACCGATTGTTTGGGATTTTTGTCTCTCTGTGCGTTCAATATGCATGTGAAGTGCACACATCACTAGCGGCCTCGTTGTAAGTACCACGCACTACTGCTGTTAGTTCACGACGAAATCAGTAGTTCTGAGGGCACCCACATGATGATGAGCCAGCATCAGTCGAATCGCCATTTTCGAGGCACGGCTAATTAACCCGTGGAAATGGGCATTTAGAAAGGCAGTAAGATCGTAGGAAAGTTCAGCGATACTGTGAAGGATGGACTGTGTACTCCGAATGAGCGTGTCGTCGAAATCGTTTCCAACCCCGTAGACAGCTAGATTGTGTTAGTGTTCCATTCCATCAAACTCCAATCAATGGAAAGACTCACTTGTCAGAATTGTGGCCATGAGCCTGGCAAGCCGAACATGCAACGTCAAATTGACATGTTCTACCGAATTATCCATCTCTGCAGGCAATTTGACCGTAATATCCTCGTCCCTAATCGAGCTCGGTGCACCGATTAAAGCGGAGAATTCTCGGTCTAACATGTAAACTACCCAAAAGATTGTTCTGCATCGTTTGGAGAGTTCCGGTCCGCATATTTCCTCTGGCACATGCCTGTGTATTCCTTCAATGATACAGCCCCGTAAGGCTTGTCCAATCTGTTCACATAATTAGATAATCCAGTACCACTGAGACATGAAGAAACACACGTGTTGAAAGGCCGCTCTTCTCATGTCTATTGACTGCAGATACACCGCCCCTAGACTGAGTGCTTGGATACAGCCCAATGGATCTTCGTCAACTCCTGACAAATCAGGCAACAGAGCCATGGCTCGAGAGGCATATTGATGACCAGGCGGTGTCCCGGAAGGATTCTTCTGTGTCAAGAACGCTTTTCCAAAGGCAAGCACAAGTAAGTATTGACAGTACCAGGGTCTGTTTGAAGCAGCTTTCGCTGGTGGGTCCCGGTAGAATTCATGCAGATCTTTCAGATAAGCATGTTCATCAATCATAAAAGAAAGAAACCCAAAATAAAACTTGACTGTGTTGAATAAGAAGAGCGCATAGTCCAGTGGTGGCAGATTAGTGACATCAGGAACTTCGTCTGGAGGATATGGTCGCCAGGTTAACTTGAAAGCCACGCCATCAATGTGAAATGGATCTGGTGGACAATTCGATTCGGGCACCTTTCTCCCTATCAAAGCAAGGACACGACGACAAAATGACCACGACGATGTCGGTCCCATGTACCCTTAGATATCCGAGTCAGTAATGAAATAGCACTAGACGATACACTTAACACTCACAAAATCGGCCATCTGGGGTTTGGGCAAAGGATGGATCCCGGTCAACCAAAGGATTGCGAGAGAACCTTGATCGGTGATTGTCTTCAGCGACACTATTGGTCTCTTGCTCTCTCTGAGGGGTCCCTGGGGTATGCAGAGGCGGTCCCATCCCTGAAAGTAGACCACAGTTAACACATCAAAGACACATTCAGAGAATGATCATAGCATACCAATTGACATTGAACGCCATCCAATATCTGCTTGATTGTCTAGCAGCGTACTAGATGCTTGAGGGGTTGGAAGAGCATCGGCATTCTCATCGCCTGTAAAGAGTGTATCTTCTAGCGGGCTGCGATTAAGAGGTGCCGGGGGCTCATGTCGTATCGAGCTTCCGCTTCTGGATAAGAGCTCCTCTAGCTCTCGCAAATACCTATTATACATTAGCACGTATAGTGGAGCCAATTGCAGCTACTCACCGTTCCGACACGGAGACTCGGACGTCCTCCACCGGAAAGTGGCAATGCTTCTTCTTCCGCGCACATCTTGTGCAAGGACTGATTCCCGAGCATTTGACCTTCATTGACCGACATCGCTCACAGCTTCATAAAATGTAAGTTGGTTATTTTATTTTGGGCGAATCAAGGTTCTGACTCACGCCCTCTGGCACTTTTTGGTTCTTGCCTGGTTAGGTGTTGCAGGCATACCGAATTAGGATACCGGGGTGATCTATGGAATAATTTGAACCTAGTCTGTGCTTCCGGGGCGACTCTCCGATATCAATCCTTGCAGAGTGCGGGGTAGAGATGAGACAGCTGGTACAATCAGTCGGGATGTCCTTCCGACTTTTCTTATCGGAGATAACAGCGAGATAACGGTGAGATAACAGCGTATCGTCTATCACGGGCCATCACATGATTGGTGAGACCCTAACAGGATTGACTTCGCCTTGATTTATTTGGCTTCGTGCATGACCTATGCATATTCTTAGTGGACAATAATACTCTGATTGGTTATACTGTCCATTGAACATCTACTTTGTAGCCACTAAAATATCTTCGGGACTCATCCGACGATCCTTCGCCACAACTCACGACGCAATGCGGTCACCATGTGTTGTGTTCGCTCCACCGCCCCGCGATTCTCGATTGCTCGACGGTGTAGATATCCCATACACTCAGCAACTGATCCCCATGCCATGCACTTGAAAGCTTTTGGCACAGTCAAGTTGGCAGCAGAGGATTGTTCGAGGGCACGTTCGTAGTTTTGCACCAGTTCACAACTGAGCTCGTCGGCCATGCCTTGGATTTGTCCACATTCCAGCATGACTGTAGGTTGATTATTGAGAAGTCTATTCTGGTGCGTGGCAATTGCTTTGGTTGCACTGGTAGCGTTGTGGGTAGCGAGAAAAAGAGCGGCCTTCGGAAATGGGATGTTCTCCTTCCCAGCAGGCATTCTTCGGCAAAGCATGCTGTCTGCGATGAGATCGTAGGACCGGTCTGTATCAGCTTGAGTATCATGGATGAGGGACCTTGTCTCATGCTCAATATATGCCCCTCGAACCAGCTTGATACCCAGGGTCCAGCCCTCTTGTGCGGCCATAGTAAGATGGTGGTCGAGGTTCGCCTTTGATCCCTTGAGATATCCTTGAATAGTGTTGTAAACAATTGGTGTTTCGGATTTGTTATGCTTGCGCATAGTTTCAATTGCCCAGTCATCAAGGCCCTTTTGCAAGACCTGCTGTTCTGCATCCAACCAGAGACGTGAACCCTGCTTTGCCGTCTCAATGCAAATTTCATCCACGGCTTTGACCATAGCATCCGGCATAGGCTGGCGTGCTGCCATCGCGTCCACTGAGATAGGCCCGGCGCCTGTTAATCTGACAGAGGAATATCAGATTCCAAAGGATAATAATCTAGGGCTTCACCACTTACTTTACGGCGAGAAAGTCACCCGGCCCAACCATACGCAGCGTCTCCAATGTCCCCTCTTTCCACTCCTCGACCATCTCATAGCACTTTTCGCTGTACTTTGATGTGCCAAATTCATCGATTGAGAGTTTTTCGTCATGATCCAGCACTATCTCTTTCGAATACCCCAAGATGATGCCCTGGTATCCCATCTTCTTAACGTCTGCCACGGTTTTCGAAACTTCCTTTTTGTTCACCCCAGCACAAAAGTGGTTGTAAACCGTCCAGCGAAGCAATTTATTCAAAAAGAGGTTCCGATCTGGGTTTAAAAGTGGGGATTTGGATGTCGCAAGGACGCCCATCACGGCAAGAGCAGGTCTTAAGAATAACTTGGAAGTCATCAAGGAAGTCAGGAGTAGAGACCGTAGTAGTAGCCTCATCGGCATTCGGGCCATAGATGAGACTTCGACGGGCGGCAGGATTGCTGGCATGACGGCGGCATCATGGAAGTGAGATTTCGTGGAATGAAGTCGAACGAAGGTCGGTGTGGTTGGAACTGAGAATCCATGAGGCGATCTCACAAGAGTACAACGACGTAGCATCTTTGCTTGAGTCAATAACATAAATGTAGAAGTCCAATGTCGCACTCCTGTTTTATATGAAAGGGTTTAGGAATAATAATAAGTTTTGCTCACCCAGATTGCTCCCACGTAATATAATCTGAGACAAATGCTCGCTTTATTCTCTCATTACTCTATCAGACCGCCACTACCTACCCAACTATCCGATCATCGATAGTCAGCCGGTCTTCTATCGGAGTCATCCTCCGATGGAGGGGTTTGCGGACTAGGAATCCTGTCCCGCGATGCCAACTCATCTATACCTCGATGGGGGTTTTCTCATCTCTGAATGGCCAAGAAAGTATCTCCATGCGTTATCATTGCTCTGGCTCAAGCCCGGCCCGGTGTGAGGTTGTATTGTTAGTTTGCATTACGTTTCATAGATGGATATACCCAGGCGGGGTTAGCCAGTGGCAGTCTTACGGTGCGCTATCTGATTTTCAATGCTACCTGGTGTTCATATCTTTTGCTTCGGTGGTTCAGTTAACTTGCTGACTTGCAGTGCTATTTGGTGATATGAAGAGTCACGCTTAGGCCCGGGGCATCGCTTTGGAAGCCCTATTGCTAGAGTGATGAGGAAAGAAAGGACAGATCGAAAGGACATCAAGATAGTATTCTATATTGTGACTCTCTAGGAATGCTTGGATTATTCAACTTCCTCATGCTAGGTTAGACGAATGTTAGAAGCAAACAAGGAAGGTAGTATAAGCCACATACTAAATCATAGAAAGATTCCTATAGATTTCTTTCTACAAGTACAACCAGGACTACAACATATGCAGCTACGCATGCTAGCCCTTCCTGAACCTCTAGGGTCGGGTCGAGGTAAGCCAATCCCTATACCTTAGGACAAGCAGCATGATAGCTTGTCGCCAAAGTTGTGACTCGATCCATGTATAGCGGCCTATGTAGCGTACATGCAATAAGAATAAATTTATTCCAAATCCCTGCCGAAAGCTGGTTCTACAATTGCGACATGTTCGGCTTGCTGTAGGATATATTAAAGAAAAAGCTAGGGATAGTAAAAGTACTATTCCGACTCTTGCACTACTCACGGTCATTAAAGAATCATACATCCAGACACAACAGCATATAGAAGTCCAATCTATATTGTTCGAATATTGTTCGGTATATATGAAGTTTCCCACTTCTTAAACCTCGTTCGAAGGATATGTTACCTTTTCTAGCGGTACAAACTCTTCCTTGATTGTGCGAACGCTAACGAACCGCTGTAGATGTGCCATAGTCCCAGTCTTGTCGTTTGTACCCGAGTCCCGGCTACCACCAAATGGCTGCTGGGCCACAGTAGAGCCAGTACACTTTGTATTCAAATACAGCATACCAGCCGCGTGCTTGAGAATAGTTTGTGCCTGACGGCTGACATAAGGGTCCTTGGCGAAGATACTTCCAGTCAATGCATAGCGAGAGGTTGTATCAACCAGCTTCAATGTTTGCTCCCATTCAGCATCTGGATAAACATAGATACCAAGGACAGGCCCAAATAGCTCCTCGGACATGATCTTATGGTGGGGATTGGAGGTCCGGTAGACGGTAGGATGCACGTAATAGCCCTCTGATTTGGAAGCCTTTCCACCAACGATTAGCTCCAGCTGCGAGTCGCTTTTTGCTTCTTCGATGAAGTTGTTGAGTTTGTCAAATGAGCGCTCGTGAATAACTGGGTTGATAAAATTGCTATAGTCTTCGACATCTCCCACCTTGAGAGCTGCGGTCTCTTCTGTTAGGACCTTTTTGAACTCGGGCCAAACAGACTCTGCAACGTAAACACGTGAGTTGGCAGAGCACTTCTGGCCCTGGTATTCAAAGGCTGCGCGAATGGTGTTCAACGCCGCACTCCTCACATCTGCGGACGGATGAACGACGCCCCAGTTCTTGCCGCCGGTCTCGCCGACCACTCGAGGGTAGGAGTTGTAGATACCTGCACCAATCCCATCGCCAATCTTCTTTTGAATGCCCTTGAACGTAGCAGTGGCCCCAATAAATGTCAGAGCTCCAAACTCTGGTCTCTTGAGCACTGTGTTGGTGATTTGTTCGGCATCACCAGGCAAAAATTGGATAACATCTTTAGGCAGACCAGCCTCAAGCAAAATTTTATGAAGCAGCCAGCCGGCATGAAGCGCCGCGTCTGAAGGCTTCCAGATAACGACATTACCAAGTAATGCAGCAGGTCCAATAAGCGTTGCGCCGAGCGCAGTGAAGTTAAAAGGAGCAATGGCGTATGTAAAACCCTCAAGTGGGCGGTACTCCATCTTGTTCCAGTTTCCATCGAGTTGAACCCTAGGCTGCTGGGAGAACAGGGCCCATGCCTCTTGGATGTAGTGGCGGAAAAAATCAGCTGTCTCGGCAGCGGCATCGATCTCTGCTTGCCAGATGTTCTTTCCTTGGCCAAGCATTGTGGCTGCAACTATTTCGGACCGATATTTGCCAGTAACAAGCTCGGCAGCTCGAAGAAAGATGGCGGCACGGTCTTCGAAGGGGGTAGCTTCCCAGGCGGGCTTTGCACTGAGGGCTGCGTCGATAGAAGCATTGACTTGCTCTGGGGTTGCAGAGGCGTAGTTTGCGATAATTTCGCTGTGCTTTGACGGATTCGGTTGGGAGCGAGATCCTTTGGTGGTTATCTACAAATTTATGTCAGTTGAATTGTCTCAATTGATTTCGTTGTTCGCACACACCTCTGAACCATTAATAGTTATAGGAATCGTGAAAGGAAATTGTCCTTTGAGTTTCTTGATGGTCTTGGTCAACTCCTCTCTTTCTGGAGAGCCTTTTGCGTAGTCAAGCTGATTTACTGTTAGGCCAGGTTCGGTTGTATACTTCGATGTAACTCACCATCTTCTCGTTTTCAAATCTGGGAGGACTCAGCATAGTCAAGTATCGCCTTGCAGATGCATTGAGAGCACGAGGCCTAAGGATCTTGAGCCTCGCGCTTCGAGTAATAGTAACAGAACGCATATTGTGCTGAGGAACAAAAGCAGAGGCACACAGATTCTAGCCAAAGTGAAAGCGATAAGAATTTGCAAACACACCGACAGATAAGCTGTTAAATATAATACTCATGCATGAGTTAAGTATACTAGCCATCGGGAGGTCCTTCCGTGTACAACCGTAACATGAAATGTCCAAGGAAGCTCCAATATCGGAGCAGCCTTCCGATGTTCAATGTGCGATAAACTAGTCTTGATCCCCCCAAACACTGATAGTAGGTAAGAGTAAGTATATTTAGATATTTTAGAGATAGTCACTCACTTGTTACTTGCTATTGGTTAGTAGAAAATGGAAAGGTGTCCATTGGCGGTCAAGAGACCGAAAATGGGTATGAATCCTTTGCTCATATTGAACATTGGAGCTGCGCATAAATTATAGCTTCATTATAGTTAGTTGCGATGCTGAAGATGAAGTAACACTACTTGCCTATATAGGCAATACCCTAAGGTATGGTGCATCATACTTTTTTCTTCTCTGTTTACGCAACGACCAAATTGAGGGCTATGTTCGCTTTCAGGGTATGACCTTAGAAAGCGAAAAGCAAGGGAAGCCTTGTATACAGCACGTTTCTTTTTGTAGACAACCAACCCAGAAGGAGATTGGCATTAGGACGAAATAGGAATCACCATTTAACAAGTGGCGTGTTCGTTAGGGGGTTTGGAGTGCACAGTGCCAAGGAGGATCCTTGACTTCCAAATTTGCTGTTGGAAGAGACGGTACCTCTCTACGCTTTCCATACCTTTTCCTCCAACATCTCATAGCAATTTTCAACCCGTGGATTGGTTTCCCTCGTCGTGGCATCGTCGAAGAGGAACAAAAGGGCAGTTGAACTTCCTGGGCCGTAAAACGAACGAACGAGGCCCAAGACTAATATCTTAGTGATAGAGGATGCCGACCCACGCCATTTTATCCTTATGATGGTAGAAGTTTCAATGATACTAGGTCTTCAGCTAGTGATCAATGACCCCGAGCTCGAGGGCGTTCCCCTTCCAGAAGTCGTCTGATCCAAGTGTATGACCACACCCAAACGAAGAGCTTATATTATGCTGATAAAATATAGCATGTGTGTTTCCCATGAATGTTGATGCATCCAGCAAGTTAAAAATCTATCTTATGCTTGGCATCCTTTGGTGTATGTATATGAGCTTGCAACTCCTGGGAACGCAGCCTCTCGTCAGGCAATCGGTATGCACTTGGCGTGCTTGTACATTTCTTGCAGGCCACTACAATATCTCCGACTATGAGGGTATCTTAAGGATCATCACGACAACTGGCCCAATGGCGTAACCGCTCGAGTTCTATATATTACTGTCTTTCCCACTCCTGTAGCAAACAAAATGCAAACCTCCAGAGACATATCAATGCGATAATACATAAGTAGGATAATAGAAGCACATAGATGTATCTTTAAAGGAGTAAGCTGGTCAGGGCCTTTTAAAGTAGACTATCTGGTGGTCTCTTCTAGTGGTCTTTTCAGAAGTATTTTCGGATATTTCCTATGTAAGTAAGAAAGATTTCTTCCCTTTCTTAGTACTGTACTTTGAAGGATAAGAGCAACCCCAAAGTTTAGAAGATAGGCATCGGGTTTAAAACGTACAGGACGAGTTCCCTGTATATAACCTTTAAGACCAAATGGCAGGCCTATATCACTTCCTAGGGGATCCCTCCTCCTTTGTACCCAAGTATAGGGGGCATGACATTTATATAGTAATCGGAGCTGATCTTGTATTCAATATAAATCTATGAACTCAGCTATAGATGAATAAAGTATGTCGATATTGGGTCTTCTGCTAGGCAAAGTCCCAATGCTCCCTAAAAAGCCTGTCCCGACACATTCGAAAGAATGCTTTAAGTCATAAGGATCATTCCGTTCCAACCTTACATACCTTTACGCTTCTTGAGACGAAAATATGAAAGTGGAATAGTAGCTATGTGTGTACAACATAGGCAGCAAGGCTATCTATCGTAGCCCCCAACATTTCTCCCAATCCCATTGGACCTATTATCTCCCACACCCTTGAACCTGCATTGCCATTAAATTCCCTATTGCGTCTCATCTTTTTTTTTTTGAAAATTGAATTGTCTTCGTTGTATACTTCTTTTTGTGATTTTTTGTGATTTTTTGTTCCTTTTTGGAGGAGAGCGGTGCCCGTGATACCTGTCCAGCCCCCCTCGGCTCCGCTTGATCGTCAACGTCGTCATTGCCATCACCTCCACACCTGATCCGATCTCCTGGCGCAAACATCACCTCGGTTTCCTGATGTCCCTATTCGGTACATCTCCAGAGGCTCCCTCTGCGGGTGATCCTGCTAGATCCAAGTCCTCGCTGTTTGCTGACGAACCGGCTACGGGCGGCTCATCGTTGTTCGCCGATGACGACGGCGACGACAATTCCTCTCCTTGGAATGCTCAAAATAACACTGCTAAAAGAACTGCCCGGCGCGACTTGGTTCGGACCTTGCTTCCCAATACGGATGTGCCTGAGAGTTATATCGACGCATACGACCTGATCTTGAACAGCGGGGACAGAGTTGGCTCCGGCATTGGGTTGACCTCTGTTCGAGAGATTCTTTCAAGCAGCGGGATCACTGCAACGGACCAGGGCAAAATCCTGAATCTTGTCGCTTCTGGTGATCATGAAAGCTTTAGTGGACTCGGTCGCGGCGAGTTCAATGTGCTATTGGCGCTGGTCGGCCTAGCACAAGAAGGCGATGACCTCTCCTTTGATGCAGTGGACGACCGCCGTAAAAGTGAGATGACTTTGCGCCCTTTAGGATTTCGACCATCAATTATTTTAGATAATATTTCTAACGCGGAGTCAATGCAGAGTTACCCCAGCCAAAGAGTGGCTACCTCGACCACCTACGAATGACCGGCGATGCGAGCTCTGAACAATCACACCAGCGACCTGATACCCCTCCTTCCCAGCCTCCTCCCTTGCAAACCTCCGACTCCGCATACTCGCAAAGGTCACGACGAGAGTCATTGGGCGGATTGGAGTCAGATCCATGGGGCAGTCCACAATTACACCGCGGTCACAACCATGAGACAGGAACCGCCGAACCACGTATATTGAATGGATTCGGTAGTGTGAGGTCCACAACGAACGCTTGGTCTAGCAAGGCGGTCGAAGACACCACACAAAGCAACATGATTCAAAGCGCGCATTCCAATGGCCACACGGAGGCTGCGCCGCCTAGCAGTGCTGGGTCTGGATGGGGGAACAATAACTTCAGCGGAGTGAGTCCGACCGACGAAAGTAGCTTTGGGGGCACAGTGCCCCCGGCACTAGGTGGATTTGGTCCTGCGATCGATGAGCCTAGCAATATTACACCACGGCGTCGGTCCATTGGTCTCAGCCGACCGACAAACCCACAAATAGAGGAGAGCGTCACTGTCACGTTGCTTCCTGAGAAAGAGGGCTTGTTCATGTTTCAACATCGAAATTACGAGGTCAAGTCTGCACGGAGAGGTAGCACCGTTATTCGACGCTATAGCGATTTTGTCTGGCTATTGGACTGCCTCCAAAAGCGATTCCCCTTCCGGCAATTGCCTCTTCTTCCCCCAAGCGGGTTTCAGGTATGCACAACGCTGGTTTAGCGCACCTAATTTCTTACTCACAATTATGAAGTAAATGGCACTCACCTTTCAGCGGATTCATCTTCATTTCTCGAAAAGCGCCGACACGGACTTGTCCGATTCACCAACGCCCTCGTTCGTCATCCCGTTCTCGGTCAAGAGCAGCTCGTGATTATGTTCTTGACGGTTCCAACAGTAAGCTTTAAGTTTTTGGGTGTTCCAGTCAGCGCAGAAAATAATTGTGAATACAGGAACTTTCGGTGTGGCGGAAACAGGCCACAATATCAGTCCAAGATGAGTTTGCTGGCCGTGTCCTCCCCCCGGATCTTGAAGACTCATTACCCGCCACTCTTGACGAAACGTTTGAGACCGTTCGTGGTGGTGTCAAGCGTTCTGCGGAAATCTATATCAATCTTTGTACATTGCTTGAGCGATTGGCTAAGCGAAATGATGGCCTCGCTGCTGACCACCTTCGGTTCTCCCTTGCCCTGCAGTCCTTGACAGAAGTCACCAAAGACACGTATGCAGTGGATACCAATGACATCCCTTCCCTTAATGCAGGCATCACTGCTACTGCCCGGCATCTGTCTGCCAGCCAAAGTCTATTGGAGGATGAAGCCCGAGGGTGGACCGAGGGGGTTCTGGAAGATCTCAAACGGCAACGTGATTGCTTGGTCAGTGTGCGCGAGATGTTCGATCGGAAGGATCGATATGCACGGAACAACATTGCGCAGCTGGAACGGCGCATTGAGACCAATGAGCAGAAGCTGCAGGACCTACGCGCCCGACCCTCGGGCACAGTAAAGCCCGGTGAGATCGAGAAAGTTGAAGATTCTATTTTCAAGGTGAGACTGTGTATTTGAATGGCTCCCACGGTAATACTAACTTTGGTTCTCTACTAGGACAAAGAATCTATTGTGCAACAACATGCCCGCGGCGTCTTCATCACAGAATGTATCCGTGACGAACTCGCCCACTTCCAACAAAGCCAGTATCACATTAGCCGGCTGCACCAGGACTGGAGCCAGGAGCGTGTCAAGTACTCCGAACTGCAGGCAGAGAATTGGCGTGGCTTGAGCGACGAGGTTGAGAGGATGCCGACGGGCGTTTGACTGGGCAGCATTGGGCTTTGTCACTTAGGTCGTACCTCGTACATACCAGCCCGGTGGACTTGAAAATCTTCGAATTGTGTTTATTGGGGGCACGGGCGGTTTGTGCCCACTGTTTGCTTTTTATCTTTTTATATTTTTCCCCCCTGGAAATCCTTCACTTTGATTCATCAAATTCCCCCTGAAAGTTTTGCACCTGTTTTTTTACATAATTCCGAATTTGATCTGTTCAATATTTGCTAGTAGATTAGGGAGATAATGTCCATATACTCGAGCCCTATCAAGCCCACTACGCCACTGACTCAATCCCGACGATCCTGGATTTTTGTGTCTTGGCGATCTATCTTACCATACCATTACCATACATAACCGGAATATTACATGTGTGAGACGTCGGGAGACATATCTGATTATGCACTTGATTGAAGCATCTCTTCTTCCCTTTTTCTTCTAGAATATCTAATACTCCCAATAGACAATCTCGATTGGCGCACGTCCTCCCTCCGCCAGCCAAGACCCAATTCCCGCCAACGTGGGTCCTAAATGTCTCGGCTGACGAATCCCGCCCTTTCCAAGAATACTTCGTTCTGGGCAAATCTCCCAGAGCCCGCGTTCACTCGCTTTCTTCTCCTTGGCCAAGAGCTCCCAAGACTCTGACCGAATTTCGCTCTTGTCCCATTTTTTCCTTTCCTTCTCACCCTCTCCAATTTGAATCTGCACCTGCCTTCTCTCAAGGCCAAGCATAGGTTCTTTTTTTTTCGACCTCTTGCCCAGCTTCGCCTCCGCCCCCCAGTGGCATCCCCAAGCTCTTGGCTCAGCGCCCCCACAGAATCTGTCCTGTCACTCACCTCTCAAATCTGTCGGACCTGCGCCTAGACGAAAATCTCAGCCCTACAAGGCTCGGCAATTCGGCTTTTCGACCACCGATTCACCAAGGCATGAAGAGCTACGCGGACCAACGAAGTTCGAGCGCGGAAGTCATCCGGTAAATCGCTCGCGGTACAGCCCCGGACGGAATCATACAAAAGTTCCCGGATAATACAATTGGTGTTCAATCACCGGTATATTCATTATGGCATGGGATCATCTGGATATCGATCGGCCGCATTTGGCTTACATGATCCTAGGAGGTTTCACAGGCCTGTTCATGCTGTGCTCCTTGTTCGTCAAGGAGAAGCTGTACATTGGTGAAGCCACCGTAGCCACGCTCTGTGGTATCATCTTCGGCCCTCATGCGGCCAACCTATTCAATCCGCACGAATGGGGAAATGTCGACAAAATCACCCTCGAGTGCTCGCGAATCGTCTTGGTCGTGCAATGTTTTGCCGTTGGCGTAGAGTTACCCAAGGCATACATGGAACGGCATTGGAAGTCGGTATCCTTGCTGCTGATCCCCGTCATGACCTGGGGTTGGTTAATCACCAGTTTGTTCATCTGGTGGATGGTACCTCCCCTGAACTGGCTGGAGGCTCTAGTGTGCTCTGCTTGTGTCACGGCTACCGATCCTGTCTTGGCATCGTCGGTCGTTGGTAAGGGAAAGTTCGCCAAGCGTGTCCCCAAGCATTTGCGTGACTTGTTGTCTGCAGAGTCCGGGTGTAACGATGGCATGGCTTTCCCATTCATCTATCTCGCATTTTACATCTATCACTACCGCCCTCAAGTCGGCGAGGTGTGGCTGAACTGGTTCTGTATCACCGTTCTGTACGAATGTATCTTGGGTGCCATCTTCGGCTTCACCATTGGCTACATTGCTCGCCATGCGATCAAGTGGGCTGAGCGCAAGGGATTGATCGATCGCGAGAGTTTCCTGGTGTTCTACTTTGTGCTGGCTGTCTTCTGTGCTGGCTCGGGTGCTTTGCTGGGCATGGACGATCTGCTGATTGGATTCGCGTGTGGTGTTGGGTTCAGTAACGATGGTTGGTTCACCGAAAAGACGGAGGAATCTCATGTCTCCAACGTCATCGATCTTCTGCTCAACTTGGCATACTTTGTCTATTTCGGATCCATCATTCCTTGGGAGGACTTCAACTCCCCCGAGCTGGGCCTTACTCCTTGGCGGCTAGTGGTGATTGCGATATTGGTCCTCTTCTTCCGACGTATTCCTATCATGCTAATGCTCAAGCCGATAATACCGGACGTGAAAACCTGGCGAGAAGCTTTATTCGCGGGGCATTTCGGTCCTATCGGTGTCGGTGCCATTTTTGCAGCCATACTCGCTCGAGCGGAACTAGAGCACGACAACACACAGCCATTACCTGAAGATGAGCTCCCGTTAGTAGGAACCACCAACTATTATGTTGTCAGGCTCATTTGGCCCATCACGACTTTCATGGTCATCACATCCATTCTGGTGCATGGCTCGTCTATTGCAGTGTTCACTCTAGGTAAACGCATCAACACCCTGACAATCACTCTATCCTACACACAGGCCAACGAGGAGGGACCTTCATGGATGAACCGTCTTCCTCGTGTGCAGTCAATTGCCAAGGGATCCATGTCCTTCCGCAAGCCGGAGGATACGGATGCCTCATCGGACGAAAAGCTTCCTCAGTATCCTCCCGGCACCTTACCGCCTATCGGTATGCCCGGCAACTTCCTCCGCCGGCAACGTGACGAGGAGGGAGATATTGAGTCACAAAGCCTCGAGTCTTCTCGTCGCAAGCCCTTGCGGAGACGTCGTCGTAAGCGTGCTGCCGGCGGTGGGGGCCCAATCAGTCAGTCTGCTATTATGCCCGCCCCTCGGAGACCTGAGGGCGAGGCTGAGACCGAAGAAGAAATGAAAGAACTCGAGGAGCGTGATCGGGTTGAGCGTGGAGCTTCTCCACCTCACGCTGAACGGGATCGCTTCGGCCGTGAGCCGCAGATTGAGGTATATCAAGAAGGCAACAACATGATCATCGAGGATGAAGAGGGCAATGTTCTCGCAACTGAGGATACCTCTCATATGTCTCCGGAAGAGAAGGTCGCGCACATTGAAGCGCAACGCAAGCGTCTAGAAAACGATCAATCAGGACAATTTGCACTGTCTGAGAGTCAACCCCACGCGAAGACTGAGGGAGAGGAAGTCAAGCAATCTGTTGAGGATAAGGCTGAAACTTCATACGGAAAAGCACTCAAGAAGTGGTCCAACTGGACCGGACTCGGAAAGGATCGAGGTACAGATCAGCCAGTGAAGGGGGAGAAACCCAAGAAACCGGAACAGCCTCCGAAGGCCGAGTCAGCAAAGCCCAAACCTCGTTCTGCTCATGCATACCAATTCGGCAATACTATTATTGTTGAGGATGAGGACGGTGAGGTGATCAAGAAGTATACCCTTCCCGGCGGCAAGAAGGGCGAGAAGGGCGAGAAGACCCAAAAGGAACCCACCGTCCCTGGTGAAGCACCTGTTCGCCGTGGTCTCAACCGCGTGGGAACATGGTTCGGCAAGGAGGACGAAGGCGAATCCTCCCAGGCTGCCCAGGGTAAGAAGAAGGATGACGATTGGACAGCCGATGACGGCATTCGATTCACTTTGGCCCAGGACCCCCAAGTCGACTCTCAAGGCATCAGCCATAAGGGCCGACGCATGAACAAGCAGGAATTCTTTGACCGAATCAAGGGTCTTGACGCCAAGGCCCGCCGGGATCTGGTGCAGCAAACCGACGCACCAGCACCAGTTCAAGAAATGGCCCAGCGCGAAGCCAAGGTAGAAGCAAATACCGAGAAGCAGCAAGAGCGCCGTCTTTCAGCTGCCGCTGCCGCTGCTACCGCTGGCACCAGCGCCATCCCCGAAGAAGACACCGGAGCCCTGGAGTCCGAGTCCGTCACCGACAGCGACCTTAGTGACGACGAGCCTGGCACTCAGTACGGTTCCCCTAACGTGGCTGCTTCACTTGCGAAGTTCTCGAGCCGTGGTGGTCCCTCCGCCGCCCAAGAACGCCGCAACAACCTCAGCCCGGCACCACCCCGTTTCCGGGACCGTGCTCGCCGTGATTCCGACGACGATGGTACAGAGCGTATTCCACCTTCACGTCTCCGTCAAGCCGCTGGTTTGACCGCGCCCCCGCGCCAGGTTGATGACGACACAGGCGAGACCCCAGCCGAGCGTCGCCGCCGTCTGGACGCACTGGGCGTGGAAGGTGACGAGTCTGAGAATGATGATGTTTCGGACTCGGACGATAATGACAATGTCATCATGGAAGAAGATTCGGATATTGAGGATAACGAGAACGGCCAGTCTATCCAGACTGACAAGAATCACAAGCAATCTGACGAGTCTCCTCCATCTGGATCTGGATCCGGCTCTGGCTCTGGCTCCCAGTCTACCCCCCGCCAGATCCCGCGCGTTTCCTGGGGAGGCGAGAAGGGACGTGACATTTAAGCGAGTTTGTTTCAACCAAGACCCAAGACTTCTCGTCATGTGAAGGAGTCAATCGGATAGAAATATCTTGATCTGGCTTGTTTATCCTGTTTTGAGTCTCTAATCGTCATCCTCAGCCATACGGAGGAGACATCATATTCCACTCGACGAGTCAATACTGAACATTTAGTTACCTGTTTTTTATTCCTTCGGCGCTTTTGCTTCGAGCATATTCATGTATTTTCTCATCCCATCCGCCGTGCATATTAATTGCTCTTGCATGTAATGACCTTGCTTGATTACCGTGATCGACTTGTTCATTTTTACCGTGTTTATATGATTCCTTTTTGTCTGACTCACTGCTTTCACTTGCTAAAGCGAAGCGAGTTCAATTACACAATGCATCCTCTACATGGACATAATCCTCGTTTTTCTCAGTAGTTCCTCTTAAGCTTGTTACCGTAGATACCTGCAGTTTGTGGTAGGAAACGTGGTAGAGAACTCTTTCCATCTCTACTATCTACCATATTTACCAATAAGAGAAACAACTTGATCCAATTGACAAAGATCGAGGTATCAAACGAATGAAACCAGTATAAACAGGCCCAAGAAAAGAACAAAAAAGAAGGCGTATCTAAACTGAGTACAATCCATTCCACCCATCCTACTCCATAGTACTCTGCGGTCTCATGATACCTCTCCCGAAGAACTCACTAACAACACCAAATCGATCTCGTGAACGAGACAACTCCCCCTTGAACAGATCATGCTGGTCCGCGGAATCGACCTGTCGTTGTCGGATAGCGCGCAGGGTGGCATTTGTCGGGGCGCAGACAGGACATTGCGCGTCGTCGTCGAGGCTGTTCAGACAGCGTTCGTGGAAGGAGTGTTTGCAGAGGAAGTGGACTGTTGGGAGGTCGAGGGTTCCGCCGCAGGATTGGCAGCGGCGGGATTGGAAGACTACTGGTTGGGTGGTCAGGTGGTCTAGTTCTTGTTGTTTGGTTTCGGTTTCGGATTTGTAGCTTGTGATAAGACGGCGGTTCTGGAGAGGGAAAGAATTTAGGTTAGTTTTGTTATTCAATGAACCGGGGGAATACCGAGGGAGCTTACGGTGGTGATTTCTTTGCGTTCGCGGTCGATGTTGTCGCTGAGATACTTCTTCACACGGCCCATTGTTACTACTGCGTTGTTGCTGAGCGCTTGGATCACCTGTAATGGGGAGAGGAGGCCATCTTGGTTGATGCGCTGTAGGACCGCGTCTAGCTCGTCCCCTGCTTCAGCGAGGATTTTCGGGCTCGAGGCGAAGTATGTCAATGCGTCGACGTATAGTTGGGGCTCGTCAGGCCCGTACCGGTGTAACGCTTTGATGGCGCCCTGTGTATCTTTTGCCGATGTGAAGGAACGGAAAATGTCGAGACGGAGACCTTCTTGTTCTCGGACGAGCGTGGATCCTTCCCTGAAATTTGATAGATCAGAGAGAAGAAGCACGTTGGATGTTGAGATCGGGATCTATATGGGTTAGACATAAAATGTGATAAATAGGCAATTGGAAAACTCACGTCTTTCCCTTCAATCAGTTTCTTGGCTTTTGTCTCCCATTCCTGTCTTTCGCCTGCATCTTTCTTTCCCTTCGCTGTGTCCAGGTACATCTCAAATAGTGTTGTGAAAAGATCAACTTGTGCGTCCTTCTTCAAGTCCGGCTGCTGCACTAAGGTTTCGAGGAAATCGATGAATTCTTTGGGATGATCCACAAATGCAGAAAAGGCCGTTCGTGGCTTGGGAACGTCATAATCTGGCAGGGTGTCTTCAACCTTGCCGTCATTGGTCACCGGCTCAGGGGTTTCAGCCGGTGTCTGTGTGCCGGTTCCAACATGCATATAACGCAAAGGAAGAAGCGCAGCAAGGCTTTGTACTGTGCTGGTCGTCTGTTCCTGAGGCTCTGATGGCTGTTCCACCTCCGTACGTGGCCGGTAATGACCAGAATAGTAAACCTTGAACAGCTCTGAGGTCCGCTCGGGGCAGTGTGTCAGCAATACTCGCGCGTACTTCATTAAATTGTGATAGGCCTGGAACGAATTAGCTGATTACCTCCAGATGATGCTGTTGAGACATACCACTTCGGGATCCAACCGCCAAATATATTCCACTGCCTCGGCGTACTTCTTAGAGTCTTCGATTAGGATGTCAACGACCATGTCATTCTCCCCGTGCTTTGTTGCAAGGTAGGCTGCTTGCTCATAGTATCCGCCTTGACGGCACATTGCAATGGCAGTTTCAAGGTCAAATTTCAGCTCACCGGGAGCTTTGATAAATGAATCTAGCTTGCTTGTGTCTTTAAGCTTTGCGTAGCAGTTCAAAAGAAGCGTTGTGTGATCAACCGTGGCACGGCCATGGTCGTGTAGCTCTTCAAGGTACTCAATCAAGTTGTGAATACGTTGGGTGTCGAGGTACTGCAGCCATATTTAGTAAGATGACCGTATCGAGTTCCGATCCTCACTAACCTTACGAATGACCTGAGAAGGTTCGGTATTATCAATGGCACGGAGATACTGTTGCATAGCGGTGTCATAGTCCCCCCGCTGGTACAAGAAGTCACCATACTTGCGGTAGATGGCATTCTGCTGTAGCGGATCAATCCCAATCTTTTGCGCAAGATTAATAGCAAGGATATAAAGATTGCGCTCATATAAAATTTCGAGCTTTTGCTGTAGGGTCTTTTCCCGATAGCGAAAGATCTGAGACGGGTTAAAAGAGAGCCAAACAAAACATCACAGAAGCAACATACCTTTCCATCTGTTGTAAGAAGAAACAAGTCGCCCCATTCCATGAAAATACGTTTCATAGGTGAGACCAGCGATTCGCTATGCGCGATGAACTTGAGATCAGTATCGAGGAGGGTGAACGTAGTCGTGCCGAAGATCTCTTCTGCTGGACTAGCAGTGTACTTCCTTAACGGATCCGACTTGCTAGTCCCAGCCTTTGGCGGACAGACGAGAGCGACATAGTCACGAAAGACATCAATCGACGTCTTCGGGCCCTCGAACGCATAACTCGCTCCACGACCTCGGGGACCGTACGTAAAGATTGCCTCCTCCCGAGCAATAAGAATATCTCCTCCCTCTTTATCCAGAGTCATGCAGCCCAAACCGCATCCCGTATCTTCCAAAACGCGCGCAGGCTGGCCCTGTCCTCGCCCGGCGATGACCAATGTCAAGATGCGATTCGTTGTTGAAATGTAGAGGGTTGTGACAGCGCCTGTTTGCGTTTCGAGTCCGGTAATCGGTTCTTCGGACTCGAATACGATCCGTTGTCGCGCGCCTCGGTCGTGGATGAGGTCTCCTCGGATGATGGTCACGGAACCGTTCGCGAAACCCACTGCTACCTGCGAGAGGTCATCGACGGCTGCGAAAGCCGATATCTATTCCACTGTAAGTAAGTGATGGCCCCATTTATTCTTGATTCAGATGCAAACGCACCGGGAACTGCCTCCTGGCATTTTGAACGGAGACCGTTGACAGACACCGCGGGCCCCCATCTTTCTTCTCCGTATCTAGCGCCCAGACCTTCAGGACTGGCTCATTTAAGAGATCCTCTGCAACGGTGACAAGCAGAGCGGTATCATTTATCTGCCGCATGTGTGTAATGGAGCCGGTATCGTGGGCCTTGAACGATCGCACGACGCGGAAGGCCGAGGAGACGATGTGTACGAAGCCATCGGTAGTTCCGACGAAGAGGTTCGCGGAGCCTGTACAGATACTCGAGAGATCGCTCTGGGGTTGATTGTTAGATAGAGTGCGACTGGAGCAGAGGAAGGTCGGAGCCTTACATTGAATATTGAGGAGCTGTCCTCCGGTAGCTTCACCGGTGACACGTCGATGAAGTTGAATGCTTTCCACTGTTGCTTCTGTTAGCCGCAATTCATTGGTATGAAATCAGAACCTCTTACTGATGTCAGCGCCATCTCGGCTCATTGACTGAGATGTGTGCAAGGTGATGTTCGGAGCTCTCCCCGCTGGCGCTCGGGCCACTTGGTTCCTGACGTATCTCCAGCGACGGTCTCTGCTACTTTGCTCCAATTGTTCGTTTCTGTGATTTTTATCTTCTTTTTTCCGACAAATGAAAATCCTGCACAATCCATAATCAATATGTATTGCTAATAAAAATCTACCACTATATGCTAGAACAGACTATGAGAACCGAAACAACCGGGCGACCAAGCTGGACATTTCAACACGCTATGCATGTGAAGATGCAAAAATGAAAAGAGCAAGGAGTAAAAAATACAGTCATAATAGCATCAAGGAACTCTCGTCATTGAGATAGATCCATGTGCAAAGGAGATGGGCGCGCATCAGAGGTAGGAATCGCCTTGAGATTTTGACTCGAGCGACCGCTGTCCTTGATGAAATCAAAACTTTGTTGAAGCCAACTACCAGCATCTGCGATTGCTTGACTAAGGTTGAAACTTTCCATTCCACCCTGTCCATCCTGGCCTGTCGTTGGCGTCGCGTTATTGAGGGTGAGGGGCAAGGACGCGACCTCTGTGGGAGACTGGTAAATGGATCGATGATCCAACTGTTGGGCCAATGATCGTGAGCTTTCTTCGTCTTCACCTGATTGGGATTCTGCAGTGTGATATTCATTGTCAGGGGATGTTGATTGACTCCTAGTGGAAGGGGATGGTCTTTCGGGCGTCCTTTTTCTCTTGAAGCTTCTGGTTGTAGGAGAACCTGAGTCTGGCCGAGATGCGCGCTGTCGCTTCTCTGTGCTGAAAACATAGGGCGTAGCTGCATCGAGCATGAACTGCGTATTCAAGGCTTGCGTCATGTTTCTGTTCGTAGGTTTCAAGCTCCGGTCTTGACCAGCTTGCTCACTGCTGAAATTGAAAGGTGTAGCTGCATCAAGCATAAATTGCGTGCTCACTGCTTGCATTTTGTCCTTATTCATAGATTCCGAACTCCGCTCTAGATCACGTCGAATCGACTCTTCTAGGCGGTAGAATGGGGTGACATTTGCTGAGTGGAGAGAAGCATTGGGTGAATGTACTGCCCGGTCCGGATTCGGTGTATGTTGATTGTAATATTCCGGACTGTCTATGTCATCTTGAAAAGACTTCTGGGCATGCAAAAGGGCAGCCTGGGTCGAAAGCTGGGTATCAGGGCTTGGCTGTGCATACTGTCCAGAATCTCCTCTTGGTAAAGCCGTCGAGTGTAATGATGTTACCCGATCTGAAACTCCCAAAGGTGCTGGCACTGGCTGGGCAGAAGGGAGATCGTCGTAGGTGTTCTGTTCGGTTGGTGCAGAGATATCAGTGTTTGGGAATGTCGATGCATCTTCCTCGTTTCCAACATCTACCACTGTGACCTCTTCCACCACAAGATTGTCCTCTATGACATCTTCCTCGTCTGCGAACCTAGTCTCTTTCGACAAATTCTTGTGGCTTGCATCTCTCGTTATGTAGTCCTCATTTTGAACTACTATTTCTTCAGGGGCCGAAGGTTCAGCTTTAGAAGGTTCGGATGCTTGATCCGTAGCGGGACTAGGACTGGCGGGTGCGGGATCAGTTATGGGTCTTTCTTTCAGGGGGCTGTCCTCCTGCAAAAATGTCTCTTCCTGTAGAATACTCTCATCCTGCATAGGAGAAGTCCTCTGCTCTTGACTGGAATGTTCACGGAGCCACCTCCGATATTCAAACCTAGGAAGTTGAGAGGAAGAATTAACGATTTGGAGAGATGCTTCCTGTAGCAAATGAGATTGTTTGTATTGTTGAAATGGTGATACTTTTGGAACGGCTGGGACTTTTGTTTGATCTGAGGCGATTGAAGTCGAGCTTGGGGATACGTGCCCGTCCGATTTTGCACGAGCACTCTGAGCTGTCTTCGCAAGGACAGTTTCAATAGGAGGGTATCTGATTGGTGATCCCGGCGTCTGTGGGACCTGGACTTGAACAGTGCGAGGCATCAGCCGACGAGCTTTATCTGACAGACGAGAAGCAACAGATATTGTTGGCGAGCTCGGCGGTTCGAATTTGGTGAAGTTCATGAGCTTCCGATCTTTCTTCAGCCAGTCCGCCGTCCTAGGCGGCATGATTGGCCGATGATCCACTGTCGACGATGGCGGCTCCTTTGATTTTGTGGGAGACCGTCGCGATGCTCCATTTTGCACATCATGTCCGGGGCGCGAGGTGGGTTCCTTGGATTGCCTCCGCGGTAATTGAGAGGGCGGAGAGCGGTCTCCAGTTTGTACCGAGGTCCTAGGGGAGTTGAACGATGTTGCAGGAATCTCCCGGTGACGATTATCAACCGATAGACCCTCTCGGTACTTCGGGACCCGCAAGTCAGTCTCCTGGACCACCCGCTCAGGGACAGTTGTTTGGCGATTCAACAAAACTCTCGCTGGTGCGCCAGCCCGGCGTGCCCTGTTCTTTTTCCACGGATTCACCCATCCCTCATCGAACGGGCCTCGCAGCGACGCAGAGAGAATCAACAGCGGTTTGCCCTGCAGATAGGTCTCCGCCAACTTCTCGACCCGCTGACGCTTTGCAGCTCGGGTGGCATCATCCAACTCGTCATCTGAGGCGAGCAAGTCATCGGAATCTATCTCGGAGGGTAAAGACACGCATGTTTCGAGGGAGACCGGGGAGACAGGGCGTGGATAGGGCATTGGGGTTGAGGTTCGAGCGGAGATTAATTGGGTGGAGAAGCCGAGGCAGTTGGAGGCTGCGATGGAGAGGTTTGGGGCGGATGCTTAGAGGTAGTACTCATTTCCGGTGTAAAGATAGCTTGGCCATATGTGATTGGCATCAGACAAATATATCTGCCAAAGATGAGTCTGACCAGGGTGCTTAACGCGAAAACCACTTAACGCGTTTGATGCCCCAGCAACCTGCCCATCCATGGGTTTCAGGTGGGGAATATTATGTCATCTATTTATTCCCCGAGGCCCTACAATGGACAGAGGACTTTGTGGAGAATAGCATATATGCTACTTTCAATTCTTGACAGTATCTAGCCCAAGCAAAGTCCTTTCTCATAAACTGCGTAATTATGAAAATTCGTGAATTCTGTTAATGGTATGGTAGTTTCTATCACATAGGGCAGCTAGAGCTGTTCTACTTGTCTACACACTACTCTACCTACTATAATAACAATCCTTTTAAGAGAAGATAAATCATATTCACACGAAGTAGAACTCTGGATAATAAAACACCGCATAGGCAAAAGAAATGAGATCTCACCCTCAACCGATGTCAAGACGGAAAAAAAAAAACGAGAAAAAGCCACTCTCCATTCAATCATCACACCACAGCAAGAACATCAACCAGGGGGTACGAACAAAGCATGAACGCTAGCAAGCGGGGAAAGATGATATGACATAAGCAGGCAATTTGTCTATGACACAGAATCGAAGTCTCAGAGAAGGGTATCAAAGGCAGTACGCAGATTGCGAGAGCCAAGCGAGGGGGACGAGTGCGGGTTGTTGGTGCGGATACACATGCTTCAGTGGAATGGTGGGTTGCCTCAGATTGTTTATTCATGGTACACGGGCGTGCAAATGGGAAACAGGTGTTGGGAGATGGGGGAAATAGATATGGATCAAACATTGGACAATCAAACACGGTAAAAGAGGGGGTCATTAAGTGGTCATCAACACGGAGTGCTCGGTACGCTCCTTCATTCGCATGGCTTGGGCTTCCAGGGAGCGGGCCATCAGTTTCGTTACTGTGAGTTAATGTTAGAGAACTGTTCTGGTTTGTAAGGGGTTGAGTGAGGGGGTTGCTGAAACTAACCTGGCCAGACAGCAGCCCGTTCCAAAAGACTGGCTGTCGCAATCAATATTTTACATCCGTATCCCCCTTCCACAACACTGGGTAGCCGTTGCACGACATTCAGCGCAGATATGGAGATGCCATTTTGTACCTCGCGCTGCATTTTCATCTCAATACTTCCCAGTATCTCCTTGATCTTATCCACCAGCTTGCAGTCCTCATCTTCTAGTAGCATGACTCCAGGTACTTGAGTCAAGTCGACATCGTCGCGACCGAGGACACCAAGATAGGGGCCCACGCGTTCTTGAACAGCAGTGATCCATTCCGCCAGCACCTGTGCACAATCGAAAGCACACAACGCGCACTGGAGGGGTAGTTCGCGCGACGAGAACTCAGCAAAGGTATTACCAAGACGATCCGACATAGAGATGGAATCGGCCGCGTAGAATGCCGCTTTGCGCAAGTGCTTTTCACGCTTGGATTGACCGATCTTGTAGATGTTGGACAGAGTCTGCATGGGCTCATCTTGTGTGGGTGTCCTGGAAATGGCTAGCTCTGATACACCTAGATCGGCAACAGAGTCGCGTCTCGTATCAAGATGACTTGTGAGAGACGGGTCCACAACGTCGCTCATTGCAGCATCAGGGTGCTGGAAAATATCAGTGCCACGTGCGAGCTCATCAGCCATGCCATTCCAATCGCGTTGCCAGAATGCCTCTTTGCATCGGCCAAGGTTGACAAACAGACGAACATAGGCCAGATCTAGAAGGGGAATACTGTCTGCAGACAATGGTCCGGCCCCGAAAGGATTCGGTCGCTCTAGGCTGTGGACAGGGTTACTGGCCCATGCCGCTTGCCATGCCCGTAGAGCGGGCTCGATGTGGGATTGCATAGCATCTGTCTCCTGGGCGGTCCATTGCCGGCCCATGTGTCTTTGGCGGGTTTCCCAAATGTAGTTGTGTAGCGAGTAGATGAGAACTAGGCAGCCGAAAGTACTTGGGCGGGTGTCCGAGTTGGACAGATCGTCGGAGTTGTAGAAGAGATTCGCCGATTGACTCTGCTCTCGTTGGCTGGCAGTCAGCAGAGATGTCAAAGCAGCAGAAAATGACGAGGTCTTTTTCGCGGCTGTTTGGCCACCCATCTGCTTCCACGCTTGAGGCGATTCAGCCGCCCAGAGATCCTCTTCACAGGGAAGGTCAAGGCGGATTTCTGAATTTGTGAGTGCAGGTGCATGGTTGTAGGCGGAGACGAGGAAGCTAGAAAGAACAAAGATAGCGTAAAGGGTACGTTTCCGTTCCTCCACGAGCTTCCAATTCAACCAATCTCGGCGCTCTTTCGGTTGAGTGAATGACGAGGACATCCAGTTTTCTGTGTCGCCCGGAGAATCATTTCCGTTGTTACCGGTAGTGAGATGATCTTGTGGCAGGTTCTTGGGATCCAGGTGATGTGTTAGTTCGGCTGCACGTGCTAGGCTGACCAAGGCAGCACAGTGCGTGCTAGCAATGTCTGCCGATGTCTTATCACCACAAGTGTGGCCGTAAATCACGTTCAATAGCATCGCCTGTACTAGCCAAAGTGGGGTGTTGTGTACCGAGTTATCGCGGGGGGAATGCGAGCGATTGAGAGCAGCAGACATGTCGGCTTTTCGTCGTTCTTCGAGATACAATTGGATCATCTTTTTGGCGGCGTCAAAGAGATCCTTGGAGTCGGCAGATTCATATTCGTACAAGGCACCGATAGCGGCCATGGAGAGGATTAGACAACCCCCGCCTCCAGCAACGCCGGTTGAGCTGAGATTGAGGTGTCCGCTTGGCGTGCGCAGGTTGTTCGTGTACTGAGGAGCTTGGAAATTGAGGGTTGGGATATGCAGAAATGGGATGTGGGGGTGGAAGTAGGTGATGTATGCCGATATGTACCGCTGCAAGTCCGAGGTGCTAGGCAATTGACCGGAGCTGTTGAAGCCAGTCGAGCGGGCGAACAGCTCGCGACTGTTTAGGAGTCCACTTGCGGGTTGGGAATACTTGCGATGGTTGAAGCCAGTGGGGGCCGACATGCTCGCTAATAGAGCCTGTCGTGTGGAGTCTGTAAATGTATCCGTTGAGAGTGGTGAATGTTCATTTCGAAGGGCACTATTCGTGAAAGGAAGGTTGAGAGGATTAGGAGATTCTCCGTTGGCTGCCAGAGAGGATGAAAACATACTCTGCGAATGTCCTCCCATGATGGGCTGGCCGACCGAGGTCATAGATGGGGGGGTGGCATACGTCTCAGAAAACGGATTCTGGGCCATTAGAGACTTGGGCGACACTGTCTCCGGGGGGATCCCCAGGTCGTTCAACGTCGTCGGGGAAAAATCGATCGCGAACTGGTTGGCCGGGTGGTGCGCAGGGAACGGGTTATGCCAACCGTTGGAGATGGGAATGCGATTGGGGCCATCCAGCATGGCCTCGCTGATTCCGCTCTGGCTACCTGTGCTCATTGCTGATGGCGAGGACTCGTCAAGAACCGAGTCGTTGCCATTTCCCAGAACCACGCCTGTATCAAGCCCGTTCATCCAGTCAAAGTGCATGTCTTCATCCATCATGGGATCCGCAGAGGGTGGAATGCCATTGTGATAGTGGCCGAACGGAGATGAGGGCGAATCGCCAAAGCCTTGCGGGGATCCTGCAAAGTGTAATTGCGCCGGGTTTATGGTGCTACCGTGACCCATGAGCATACCATCAATACCCGTATCAAAGCTCCCATACACGGGAGCAGTCCGAAGTCCTCCGGACATGTCCATGGGGAGCCCGGAAGTTTCGATCTTTGCAAGGCCGTTCATAGAAGGGTGTCCAGAGCCGAATCCCCTATAGTCCATGCTTGAGCCAACAGAAGAACTAAGGCTGGGGTGATATGTGTGACCCGATTGAGTAGGCGCAGATGACGGATTACCGGCACCAGGGATACCCAATGCCGCCCCATCAACATGGCCGATGGTGTTGGCCCTCGGGCGCATCGAAGCAGACGAAGTATTGGCAATGGAGTTCTTGCGAACCCGGTTAGCACCGGGTGCAGCCCCGGTGCTCTCACGGCGACCATTCCTCGGTCGAGAAGACGGCGTGGTTGTCATGTGTAACTTCTGCTGGTGTCGCAGGAGCAAATCGCGCCGAGCGAAGCACCGAGCGCAGTCTGGGCACTCGAATGGCTTTTCCTTAGTGTGCGAGCGCTCATGGCGCTTGAGGTGCTCCAATCGCGCGAACGAGCGACCGCAGGTAGTGCAGACGTGGGGCCGAGGCTTATCTGTTTTAGGGGGTGGAATGTTGCCATTGACACCCGTTTGACCGTTAAGGTCGGTCTGCTTCTTTGACTCCTTTGAAGCTAAAAAATTATATGGGTAAGAATTGCACACAGGGAATTGTCACAGTTAAACTCACCAGGCATATTTCCCGGAATTTCGTGAATACTGGCAAGGTCCACCACTTTTGGGCTATGGTCCCGATCTTGTCCGACCATAGCATCCAATAGCATTCTAGATTTCAGAAGCTCCTCACAGACCAGCGAGTTGAATAGCGGTCTCGGAGGGGAGGGTGCAGTTGCGACGTGCGGGAAGTTGCCAAGGCAGACAGCTTATGTCAATCTTATGATTGAGCAAAGGTCGCGTCTGGACGATATTTGAATTTTCAAATTTGTACAAAGTGCCGCATCAACAGCTGTTCCATCCAAATGACATCAAGTCAGCATGTGTCTCATATGATGCGTAGAGGGTGTTATCAAAACGACCCAAGGTACCGCGGCAGGCTATCAGGAACCTTGCCGTGAGATGGGATGAACAGGACCCACCAATAAGGGGAAATGAATTTACAGTCTATCGAAGGATTCGCTGGCCGGAAAACGGGTTGAATGGGTTTCGATTGTAGGA